ATTTGCGACCCACGGAATTTTGGAGCTTTTATGGTCCTGGATCTTCTCTGGTATACTATCCCTTTATTTCGGCCAATTTCTACTATTTTTCCAGCGATCCGCGGTGCCTGGTAGAGGCTATGTCTGTCTGTCTGTCTGTCTGTCTGTCTGTCTGTCTGTCTGTCTGTCTGTCTGTCTGTCTGTCTGTCTGTCTGTCTGTCTGTATGTCTGTATGTCTGTATGTCTGTATGTCTGTATGTATGTCAACGTCATAACTCGCTTCTAGATCGTCCCTACTGAGCACAAATCGTCTATCGATTGTCCTACACAAGCCCTTTGTACTAGACCTGTAATTGGCTGTGAACATAACCTGTTTTGTTGACACTTCATGTCAAACGCAACCAATCATGACCTCCCTAACAGCCAACATATCTGTCCCTCTAATTCGATGTCCATCTTATTGGCCGAAATTACTGACTACAGTTGTACCTCACAGTGGTCCGAGATACTGACGTACACGTGGGAGATGGTTAACAAAATGAATTATGAATTATTATGAATTATAACTTACGTGTGTTTATGTGTATGTAACGTTATATATTTGTCTACGTGTGTATGTATGCATATGCAAGTATAATGTAATGTAATTTACGGGTAATGTATAGAAGCGCGTGGATTGAGATAGATGAAAAGAGTGTTTGGCATTTATAACTGCTAAATGTTACAATAAAAGATGTATAAATCTACTGTAATAAAGAATGATATCTGCAAATGAAATCTAGCTTGTTTCATAAGGGAATGTATTCTCCCGAGCGAAACATTGAATGGAATTTGTGATGAACTGTCTTTGCATGCAGGCTTCATAATAAAGCAGCTATTTTCAATTGAGATGAAGCATGGTGATTTTTCAAATAGGTAGTTGTGATGCGGCAGCGAAGTCAAGTCATGAAGAAGTTATGCTGCAATGCGGCTTTGCAACGGCTTGTGCTTTCCACCAATTACCTCGGGGTCAACTCTACTGTTTTCACTGTGTTCGCAGACGTTTGACCATATATATACGTCCCCAACCTAAAGGACGAATGCAACCCCTCACAATGGTGCCCAACTGGGATTCGAACTTTCGTCCTCTGAATGCACGGAAGTTGATCGATTTGGCGAGGAATCCGGGTCACTGATTGCTTAAGATTATCCCACTGGCATACTCGTTTCTACTTTCCAGGGTTGGATCCTAATACCTTGTCTCTTCAAAGTATCCGGCAGTACTAACTGATGAGGCGTGGTAGCGAGAGGTCTTCCCAAAGCACAGTGATTCATGTTCAAATATCTTTTTCTCCAGGGTTTTCCGACTGCTGGGGTCAGCGTGGCTTTTATCTTTCAGCCTTGAGTAGTAGAGAATATTTCGTCCGATCAAATCCGGATATTCCTCTTGAAAAGGACTTTCCTTGAGGCTTATAAGCAGACATTTCTTCATGAATCTTAGAAAAGCAGACCGAAGAATGTCCGCTTCTCTACAGGAATGAACATTTTCTTGGACGGGACAATTGCATCAGACCAATTGCAAACGAATGAGACTGTCGTGTGTTGGGAACATCTCCAAACGTACTCTTCAAGCAGAGGTTTGGGTTTTGGCTTATTTGTGGAATATTTTAATGCTTGTTTTATCGGGGTTTCTTTTTTGCACTGAATCTTTTTACGCCAACCCAATCGTAAAAAAAATTTCAGAAACCACGATAAAAAAACCCCCTAAAAACACGCCAAAAACAAGAATTCCGAGACTTCATACCTCCATGAAATATGGGCTTGATATGTAAATTTCTTCTTTAATTATGCAAATGACCTCTGCATTAACATGATATATGCATCGTTCGTGATGTATGTTAACTTTTGATTAACTTATAGAATTCACAAGTATGACATTCCCATCATTCACCATTAAGAAATCATAGAATTTTCGCATTAATTATGCAAATTAGGTCATCATTTGCATAATTAGTATCTGTTGATGTTCCGTCTGCCATAGGTTACATACATTATATGTATGAAAGTAGTATAATGTAAAACACTGTAATTATAGAATTTCCTCATTAATTATGCAAATAAAGTCCTCATTTGCATAATTTGCATTTAATTATGTGCATCTCTCTCTCAGCTACCTACACACCAAAAATTATGAAAATATGTTGTTCCTATCTGGACTTATTGGCCTTTAAACATTTCACCAGAAAGTGCCCTGCAGTTCCAGAACAAGCTGCTAGGGGGACCAAACCCGCACCACTTATTCCTGACAGAAAAAGCTATCTGTCACCAAAAAGTCAAGACCATAGCTTGTTCAAGACAAAAGATGCAAAAACCGGAAGTTATGCTGCAGTACCAAGGTCATCCACCAGGAGGCCCATATTTGACCTTGACATTTGTCTTCCTAAGACTTATCAGCATACCAAATATCATCACAATCCATAAAGGCGTTATGAAGTTATGCTGCCTACCAAGTTGCGGAAACACACACAGACAGACAGACACACACACAGACAGACACACAGACAGACACGCCAAAAACAATACCTCCATTTTTCATGGAGGTAACAAGCCAAAACTCAAACCTCTGCTTGGAGAGTATCCAAACGTACGAGAGCTCATGTTTTTCATATATCTCTAGTGTTAAGACGGTTAAGAAATTCGTGCTAAAGAGGCCCCACTATTATGGTCGATATATTGACAAACAGCTTGAGCTGAGCAAACAAAAACCAAAACTAATGACCCCATCTCGTTTTTTCTCAGCATGTTGAATTGACCCGCCATGTCACTCACACAGGTCATCTCTGAAACGCCCTCGTCATTACAACTCGGGATCGATGCGGTTGGCTGCGGTCAGCGATCCGGTTGACCCACACTGACTTCCGCCATTTTGACGATAATTGCTCTGACGTTGATACGAGCCGTTCGAACCACATTTCACGAGTTCGTTAAGGCCAACTTATCCGCAAACAAGTAAAAACTGCCTCACATCTGCTCTAAAACACTCCAGAACAAGCAGAGAACGCATCGTTTAACCCGTGAAAGATTGGGTTACATTGTGAGAAAACATTAAAGCCATTACATGGATGGAAACTGGGAAGTGGATGTATATCTTGAAGAGTAAAACGGTTTGTACAAGCTCGGTTCTCATCGATCAAGCCGGAGTTTTGTTCATAAATCAGACGTCCCCCTGCTAGATTATACACTATCGTGTTATCGTTAGCAGAGAAGCCTAGGGACGTATGCATGCACACTAAAGCTCATTTATGCTTCGTATCCATGTGAAGTACATATTGTAGAATGATAAAGCTGGCTAAACCTCTTAATACCATAGGGCAACGTTAGAAAAGACAGGATACCGGGGTTTTAGGCTGTCGGTAATTTAATGATAATTAGCAACAAAACAGCAACAAACACATCCATATCAAAGTACAAGTATAAATTATAATAATATATTAGCTTCCTTAGCAGGCTATACGTTTAGGGTTCCTATTTTGGAGGGGGGTCAATGTGTCTTTTTTTATGGCATTTCAGTTCTCGTTATTTCGTTTCTTGTGGCTACGGTGGTATAGCGCACAACAGAGCACCGAGGACTGATATGTCACCAGAGAAAATGCACATTATAGACCCCTCAAAAAATTCGATCCGTGGAGGCTACTAAGGATACTACAAGCACAACTAGTATAGGAAGTCTACTTTTCCTTTAATGATTATGATTCGACTAAAGAAGGCATTTAATTTACCTCTCTCTTCTGTTTTACGAATAACATGGCATTAGGGAACAAACACGTGCATGTATTACAGTCAACATCACACTGGAAATACAAACGTCATTCTTGTATGTTATAAAGCCCTAGTAGAGACACTGCTCATCACATCCACGTTGTCAATTTATCTTTTTTTTTCGCTTTTTCTACATCAGTCCTAATCAATCGAAACAATGGCTTACCATCCACCAGCCTCTACAACAGCGGTCTATTACGTAATTAATAAACATAATCTGATATTTCGATCGCAAATTCTTATATCGACCATTTTCTGCGAATCGACTAGACTAATATTCTAAGATCTAAGATACTATAGAAGTCAATAATGATGATCTGACCTGTATTAACACAGTTAAGTTATCGCTGTATTATCCTTCATCGCCAGTGAAATATTAACATCATCGTTTTGTGACTACAATGTGCATCCACTGATAACGCACTGGGAAAGATAAACATATGGCTAATAACTAATCACTGTGCAGAGAGCATGGCATATTCATCAATGCGATATTCTAAGGGAATATGCATACTGGGATCATGGTGGGTGTAACAATCGATGGAGTTGTTTGGTACTGTTCCACTGAAAACAGCAATAGACTACAAAATGATACCTGTTAGTAGTCATTTCATATAACGACCAGTTACTACCAGTTACCACAAGCTGGCACATCATATACAATACTAAATTACGTACAAGACCTTGAGCAACTGCACGAACGAAGATTCGTTGTAGTTTATGCTTCTGGATATGCGGTGAAACGTATCCCAAAATTGTGCTTAACTGTTTGCCAAATAACCGTGTATTTTGCGTCCGAGTCCGTTCAACTTTGTTGCTTATCATACTAACATCATTTGACTACCCCTACATACATTAACAAACAGTCGGTGTAAGCTACAGGCTCGTGGCATATATATAACAACTTCAGCCATCTAGCGACATGTATACTAATCCTAGACGTACCCTCATCAGATGCATACCGCTTACTAGCTATAGTTTGGCAGTTTGTCTCGTAATCGCAAGATGGCGTCTGACCATGGTGCTGACACCCATCCATCGAAGAGCATGCAATAAATCTGCCAATGTTCCAGTATTCGGATTGTAACAAATGTATCGCTACATATGCATAAACGTTGTCGGTATTCTATTCTCCTAACGAAAGCAACGAACGGGACGTCATGACCTACAAGATAACTCAGTGCGACAAATCCTAGTAAATATGGGTATTCTTCCCCAATGAGAGAAGGTTGTTTTGCAGTTTTTTCTCAAAATCGCAAGATGGCGTCTGTCCTTGGTGCTGAAGGCGCATCCATGCCAGTACGTAAAGTAATCACGCTAATCGCATTTTCAGTACAGTTGCGCTCAGAGCTCCCACGAGGAGTAACATGTCGATACGACAGCTCTCCCCGCCGCTCTGCCCGCCGTTGCCGTTCCCTTGCTGGCTCGGCTGCTGGTTGCTTGCCTGTCCGTTTTGTGTGGCTTTGCCGTCGGCGGCGGGGGCGGCCGGAGCCGCAGGGGCAGCGGTCTTGATCATGGCGGTGGGAAGGCTGGTGGAGTACGTGTCCCGATCGCCAGAGGACGCTCCTGACGTGGTCCCACCATTGGCCACAGTAGAGCCCTGCTTTGTGCTTGAACCCTGTGTGTAGTTGCAAATAACAACAACAAAGAGAATTGACGGTTTGTCTTTTCACAATTGAGCCCTTTCCCCGTTCACCACACTAATAATAAAAATCTTAAAAACACAGAAGTTTCAACAATTCCTTTCAATTATCTTTTGTAATGACTTTACTGGTTTAATCGACCGCGAACCGTAATGTAATTAGCAACAAGACAAAGCACTGCAGTTACAAGGATCGCTATTTTGTAATGGTGTCACAGTCTTTTATTCAATCTCCAAGTAGATATAGGGCCCGGCTAGTTTTTGCGATATTTTGTGTTTCTAGAATTGTCCACGCTGTTCTCTCCTCGCCTCCTCCGACCAGACCTGCACCTGCTTGGAGATCAGTTTTGCACGGCTAACAGGAAAACAGCGATATTTTTGTTTTACCGCACACGATGCCATGCCGTGTACGAACGGTGCGATATCTACTGCTATTTATAGCCGCGGATAAGATCTAAACACGATGATTGCCAATCTAGCCAATATTCCTATCCCCGAGAGGGTCCGAGACCAAGAGATCACCCTTTGCATTGATAAACCCGTGTAGGAGGAGGGCCACACCTCGGGCACTTTAAAGATTCCAAATGAGTAGTTTGTTTATTGTTTATTTCAGACTCAATGGCCCATAGTGTATAGACATACATATATAACGTGACACAAACACATCTAAAAAAATAAACAAACATCGAAATGTGTACAGATAAATAAGCTATCCTTTCGCATGTATTAGTAGTGTTACGCCTACAGGCAGTTTACCAGTTATGAAAAACAAACAAACAAACACACAAACAAATAAACAAACAAACCAGGACTGATACTGTAAGCTCAATTCTATCTCAATTTTTTGTTTTCATTTTCACACCTCCACACCAGTGTGTCGCAGGCATTTACTGATTTGCCCCCCTCCCTCTTGAACGCCCGTACATTTTGACCTTCCTCGATGACATTTTATGTACCGAAAATAAATGAGCTTTCATGGCTGTTCATACGAATTCACAAGTTGATAGATTGACTAAAGATCATTGCAGTTATTTGCTAACTGGTTAAATTTCTGCAGTCATATCTATCTATTTCATAACGCGATAAACAATTTATGATCATCACCAACTTATTTGTTCTTCTAAAGTACCCGTTATTGATTTACAGAAAGTGCATCCATAACCATTTACTACAAATTATGTTATATAGATCGGGTGAGACTCACCATAAATAGAGATCTATTTATACTGTCTGTATATCTGCCGGTCCACAGATAAATCATGGGCGGAATAAGGCAGCCAATTTCCTGGCTCACTGACACTTAATGCCGTGAAATAGGTGAGAACCTTGGCACGTTCTACAGAAGATTAATGTATGAGGGATATTTCGGTGGTAACGTTGGCCATAATGTTGTCTTGTAGGGGTATTGGTTGGCATTTGTACCCATATTGACTGATATTCATACAATATATCTGTTTCTACGTGACTTTGAAATAGCCGGTACGTCCACACATGCAAGTGTTTGCTTCACAATTCAGTCTTAGCCCAAATCTGCCGTTCCAAATTGTAGTCTTTTCACTGATGGATGTTTTGTCCCACTTAGAACTAAGCTCTGATGATCTCCGATAACAGGACGGTTTTCAACACTGCATTAACGTGTGACACTTATTGTCTGTATGAAGTATGACTGAACTGGGACGGGAAGTTTTTGGACAAGTTTTACTTTACGTAGCTTTAATAACAGGATTTTTTGTGGGACTTCAATAACGAATCAAACGGTGTAACGGTCGTCATTGGACGGTCAGTAAACCAATCAACGTATTTTCACTCCTTTACTGGTATGACAGGTCATGCAAACAAACAAAGAAACAAAGAAACAAAGAAACAAAGAAACAAAGAAACAAAGAAACAAACACAAAAACAAACAAACAAAAGAACGAACGAACAAACAAACAAACAAACACATGGCTAACCTGAACACCTGCGGTTCCACCACTCGTGCTTTGCCCCGTCGTGACGGTCTGGCTGTTCCCTGCAGGTGGCAACCCTCCCCCTGGGGTGGGGACGACTTTCCCGTCAGTGGGGGGTCCGTTCTGGCTGGGGGCAGACTGTGTCGTCGGGGACGCACTGATATCCACCTGACTGGACTGTTCACCGCCGTAAACAGGGATGATTCCGCACACACAAAGAAATCCCAGCACGGATAGCGCGTACAGGGCGGCCATGTTCAATACTCTCTCTGAAATGCAGGTATGGAATATTAAATCTATATGCTAACCATAGCGTCTGAGTCATCTCTGCTGGTCATGAATATACAGGATGAGTCACAAAGAGAAAGCGCGCAAAGTTAGAAAAGGTGGGGTTTTTACACCAACCAACCAACCAACCAACCAACCAACCAACCAACCAACCAACCAACCAACCAACCAACCAACCAACCAACCAACCAACCAACCAAACAACCAAACAACCAAACAACCAAACAACCAAACAACCAAACAACCAAACAACCAATCGTTAGGTTCAAAAGGACATGAATAGTAGAAGTTCATTATAAAAATAAACATACGCCTGCGAATCAGAATGTCTGACTACATCGATTATTTTCTCTCTTAAGTCCCAAGTTCTGGGGCCCCCAATTTCGCGGGTCACTGGTATTAGCCACCTAGGACGGGAGTGTGTTAAGGGGAATGCTAAAATACCGCGTATAATATTGGAACTGAGACCGCTTTTGTAAAATACCTGCCCAGTATGGAATTTTTATCTTCCCGCGCTCAAAATAGTTCTACAGAAAAATATATTCTTCTGGCATGCAAACAAACAACTAAACCAGAAAGGTAACATTTGCAAAGCAAATGCATAATGTTTACCTTCGCATAATATGGTCTCCTCTGTCAATAGGTACTCAAACACATTCATATACATGTACATGGTCAGACAGGAGTCTAAATCCCTCCTGCTTTAAAATTGCAACATTATGTAACCCAACACTAGTTACCATGGTGACAGACAGTCTTGTTCAGGTCATTGACCTTTTTCGTTTGGAGAAGAAGAAAAGACGAAACGTAGCAAAAACAATATGTTTTCCTTCGATAAACATAACAAATAAACAAGTAGACGAAGAAACGAGGCGTTCCCTCGCAGATTACAATATCGGGTCTCCAGCTGTCATGGACTGCCCCTTGCCAACTTTTCAATATCATTATTCCCCGCAGTCTGCAATACCACAGACTAATTGACCTTATCTATTCACCTTTCTGTCACCCCGGCAGAAACACTGCATTCATCAAGGCTACACGTCCGGCTTAATGAAAAGACGACTCGCGCAAATTTCTTCCACAGGCGTGTTAATAGAATGATTGTAACACGTAAAATCATCGTCCATCCATCTTCATCCTTCCTGTCATCCTGCCATCCAAGGATATACAACCCCTCAGTGTTGACATATGAAACGTCCCTTATCCATCCGTGGACAGAAAATGGCGAATGGGTAATTAAAATGGCAAACCATTTAGCCATTTAGCCATAAAATGCAAATGGTAATTCGTCAATAAAGACGTAATTTCTTGCTAATTTTCCATGTTGTACATCGATGGCATTGTACATAGAGTAACCGAAATCAGAATTTTAATGAAAAGGCGAAATGATATAGCGCTTATGGTACAGTGATATTCTATGGTGTAAGTTTATCGTTATACATACATTTATGGATTCAGTTAAATAAATAAATACAAAGGAAATGTCAAATACAGCTAAATACATGAAAAATACACTTTATGCATGCCGTAGTCCTAACAAACCTAACTACAAAAGAAAAGGACACTTTTGATCAGGTTTAACCAAACTTATATTAACCACGAAAAGTGCCATTGGTTTGTATTCAATTATTCATTACTGGGAGTCTACCCTAATCGTATCTATGGATGGAGAGAGACTATAGAGGTCTATAGTCTATATGTTATAACTACATGTCCAGACATAAAGTTCACTGACATCGATTAGCAACTGTAAACGGCTGTGGTAATGACCGTTACATTCGTTTGAACATCTATCATGTCATTCTTTTGTCTGCGCCTACCCTGGTGCTCTCTACCTCTGTTTAGCGTTGGACGAGAGAGAACAAAGGACTTGCATAGCAGACTGTAACATAGGCATAGCAAGCCTATCCACCAACCATTCACTCCGCATACTAGAACATATACATGTACTCACTTTAGTCCCATTATTCTTTGTTCTACAGTACTTTACACAAGAAAAATTAGGCTGTTTGGTTGTATTGATTTAGTACATGTACGTGCACCACACAAAGACAGAAAGGGCATCAAAATTGCATTCAGAAATTGCCCGAAAGACAAAAAATCGAGAGGTGGTGTGCTACTTTTCTTTGTCCTTGCTCTAAATCGTGACAGAAAGACAATTTGAGATGTATTAATCCTGTGCATTGTTTTCTTTGGATTGCATTCATGGACATGAACCCTATGGTAATGATCGTATAGTCTGAGAGAGAACTATTCGCAGCTATACCTGCACATGGTATACATGATTTATTTCGTCAAAGTAGAAATATGACTACGTTAAACTAGCTCGATGCAAACCTGTCTTTACAGAAGTACATCATGCACATTGCGATAACATTAGCACAATCGCCAAAATATGAAACAGTATAGCAGTACATATGTTCCCAATCGAGTTTTGTTAGACTTGTTCTTTACAATAGCTAATACTTTATTCCTGTATTTTGATGTATATCCAAATTTCTCGTCACAAAAAGAAACAGTTCACCTACCTTCTTGCTGTGTCTACCAGCTGAGCTTCACACCGCCCAAGTCTGATGGAGTCTTTCCAGTGATACCGTCACCACAACGTGAGAGCCCGGGCTGCAAAACCGATAGTTTTCCCTGCCTCGATAACGAATGACTCACAGCTGAGGGTTCGATCTCATCCACAGTCCTGATTTTACTTTCATATGGCGAGATGGTGTTTTTCCCGAGTGACTCCCACCGGCACACAGTGAGGGGCGCCGCACTACATTAGCTTTTACCGGCTAGCTGGAATATCTGATCCCGCTTCATTGAACAAGAACGATGATTGGATTAGACTTGATATTGGACTGGTAGACAATGTAATCACAGCGTGAGAGGGATGCTAAATTTCAACGCGAAGAGGGAGTGCATATGGCGAGAAAGGATCCCTCTTCGCGAAGCTGTCAAGTTGGAAGGAAAGGTGGAAATGCTGCTACAATTCTTAATATTGGATTTCGGAGTCAACAAAGAGATCCGAGTTGTACATTTTCTGTTAAATACATATACATAAGCAAACCACTAATGTTGTATTTTCTATGAAAAATACTACATGTATATCATATCCCTTTCTCGATGTTACAATTCGTTTTGATATATCAGCAACAGCAGAATTTTGATATCTATATTGAGCCAATCATTGGAATTATCATTAACTCGAGCCCATTCAATGCACCTCACGAATTCACTGTGATTAGCGTATCAGACTTAAAATAACGGCAGAAACAGATACACGTCTCCTAATGTAGGTTTCTTGTGCTTAATACCTTTCTTATCGATTGCTATTAAAGACCTGACGGGTTGTATCATTGTCAAAGGCCGGCTACCATTTTGATACAGCGAGAGAGTTTGAGCTATCGAAATAATTTTCTGAGGGGAAAATTGTATTTCAAAGTGTGAAATATGATTTGAAGGAAGGTAGGAACATACAAGTCCCCTCAAGAAAAAGTGGAACGATTTTAGCTCTGACAGAATATTCCAAGGTCATTGACCCCAGCCCATAATACTACCCACCACAGAACATTGAACCCTGGGAAAGTGGGGCACAGATGGATGTCGTAATCACTCAGCTGTCGTCTGACGGCCAGCCCGTCTCAGACAAAAGACCTTAATTCCCGCCAAAACGTGACCAGAATCCATGTGAGCACTGTCTCCTGATCTACATGCACAACCCAGGCGTCTAAACCACACTAAAAGGTTGCAAATTTACCTAAAATGTCACATCGACTCGGAGGCATTTCTTTTCCATTCAGATGTGCCGGCTTAAAGCCGTAAATCCGGCTATGTAATGTTTTTTTCATTGAAATCGATTTGTAGTGATTGGATACTTATTCAGACGGGATCATAGTGAATGTGAATGTCAGAATAAGTGATGCAATGTCATATATCTGTTGTTTTATTTCTTTGTCGGTGGCCTTAAGGGGCATCCTAGTTTGGGGACATAAAAACAATAAATGGCATGTGTAATAAAAACTTGATAAAAAGTTAACCCACTATAATTTATTGTCCCCTATGAACTACTGGCAAACAGTTTATCAATGTAAAGTTGCCTAATGCTTTTTTAGTGTTTCTGTATCGAGGTTAGGTACATATGAGTCACCGGTATGGGAACTGGTAGCTCAAACTCAAAGGCTTTGTCGATCTTAGGAAAAAAATATGTGATGATTTGTCAATGTGTTAAAGATACAATTCATCTACATATTTTTTTCCCTAAAATATGTAAAGAAATATCATGAATTTTAACTATAACGTATTTACTTATTTTTATCTTACATCTATATACCGGTATACGATATAATGTTGATTCGTATTAATGTTTTCCCTTAACGTTATTATATGATATATGCCGTTATGGGTGACTGAAAGCAAATGAACTTCAATTTATAGCAATATCCAATTTCCACGAGGGAACGATGATGTATTAATATGCGTTCCTGGATCATTTGAATTGTTAAAGTGGGTGTTTTGCAATCGAAATTTGATATAGGGACATGGTGTGATAAATATGCTACCAAGATGACATTAATTACACAATAATGACAAAAGCAAGGTAATATCTGAGTAGCAATATCATTTAGTGTGAACAGAGAAGAAATAAAAAGAATATTTATCTAAACTGTACATACAAGAATGCCAGGTCCTAGAATAACTTTTGTTTTGAATATCGAAGAGAAAAAACAAATGATATGTGCATATTGGTAAGATATATTTTGCTCCAAACTTTAAAAAAAATTCAGATTATCTTCATAACCGAAAATTGTGTTGCGTATGATATATAATATATCCTATTACATACCGTATAATTTAAAACTATAAACTTTATTTCAAATGCGCCACCAGTGCCGCAGTCATTGATAGAGGAGTTAAGTCTGGTTTACTGACACAGATTGAAAACGTTCTGCCCTCCCTCCCTTCCCAAATGGCTTCGTTCTGTGAAGTTGAAGTCCTGCAGCAGACTTGTGTTCGTGACGAGACTGCAAAGAACGTACCGTCTTACTTCAGCTTCTCCATCATAGCGCAGTGACTGTCACAAAATCGAAAATCGATCTCAAAACTTAACAGAAAGATTGTTAGCTCTATGAAAGGGGAGTTGCACTGGGGGTATTTTTTGGTTTGTCTGTCGGTACGTTGTCTGTGTTTCTGCACCACGTTGATTTGTATATCTGACATAACCAAAAGTAACTTCAGAAGCTATCGACCAGCAACATTTTTTTTAAGTGTACGCTTTGGATGGATTGTGGTGATGTTTCCTTATTTGTCTACTGAGAATCAAGCTACAACTTGCCTCAGTACATTGAAAGAGCACCACGCGGGTTTGTCAATACAAGGACATTATACTTGTAATATAATGTCCTTGGTCAAAAGAAACTTGATTAAAAGTCGCAGCAACCCCCGGTTTTAAGACAACACATACTAGTAATAGTATTATTATAAAGTAAGAATTCATCTATAGTAAGTGCAGTACTGAACAGACAAGATAGATGCCGCTGAGACCACATTGGGCAAAAACACACCAAATATTTTTTTCTTATTCAACCCTATCCTGTTTTGGGCTGTCTCATTGAAAATTTAAAGAGGACAATTTTGTATTCCGTCGTGAATTGGCATCTATGACACCAAGGGGGCGTTACCTTTATTTGCGCCTGCGCACTACCTTACCCGGAAGTAAATTGCGTGCAGAGAACTTGGCGAACCAGTCTGGTGGCACACGTAGTCTTATAACTAGGCAAATCATCTCTTACTTAATTCCAGCTCTGACAGTTGTCTCAACTTCTTGAGCCGATTTCTCTTCGCCTTTTCAAGACTTGGTCAAGAACGTGGCACAGGACCGAGAAAATGGCGCGTGCGAGACGGCTCCTCTTCCTAGTCGAAATTTTGTTCCTGGCGGTAAGTTTGAGTTCTAGCGACCAGGAAACTGTCAACGATTTCGGCGATGGAATTCGAAGCGTGGAAGCAGAAGCTACGACGTGGCCGCCGAACGTTGTCTCCTCAGAAGACGACCCCTCCCTCGCGCCAGGCCATCTGAAGCCCATCGGCGCGAACGTCCCGAACAAGGCCGTGAAGGTCCTGCAGGGCTTCCCTCCCCCTGACGTGTTCCTCCGGGACTACGCCATCCCGTCCGTGCCCGTGCTGTTCAGGGCAGCGGTGACCGACTCCGTCGCCTTCAAGAACTGGAACACGGACGAGTATTTCCGGCAGTTTTCGGAGGCGGACAGGCAGACGCACACCATCGAGACCAGGAAGAAGGAGGTCCGGACACAGAGACCCACCGCCTTGACACTGCGCCAGTTCCTGGATAGATACAACCAGGAAGACATCTACATGGTGGAGGCCGTGCCCAGCTTCTTAAGGTATTTAGATAGTCAAATATTTACCGTATCGTATCCGTAAATGATTTCTCATCATGTCGGCCAATGATTGAATACTAGTACCATTTGTAGTTGATTTATATCCACAACCACCTGTTAAACAAACATACAAACAACCAGATTCTGTAACCACAGAACATGTAAATTTTGTACAGAAAATGCAATGGAGGACGAAATTCCCTTTATCTGCATGCCATTGCCCTCGTTGTAGCACCGAAAGAGATTAGTTCCGTCACCAAAATGTTCCCTAGCTTTATTCACCTCCCCAGCCTACAAAAAACTGCATTTTTATTAACACCTCCAAATAATCCATATATCTCGCAACATGTCGGCCATTTCATACTCCACTGCACACACAAAAGAAATCAAACCCAACAATAATTATATCAAAAGTAGCATTAGCATTAAAATTATCATCTGTACTGTATATTATTTTATCATGTTCTTGCAATTAGCCCTCGGGCATGGATCCCGAATTTGCAATAAACTTTCAATAAATATGTTTATTGAACTTTGCTATTCCACCATACCACATTGTATGATATGTGAATAAAAGCTATCTGCTATTTAAAAATCATAACCATACAATAAAACATGGCATTTCCAGAACAATTGAGATATGAAAACCTGAAGTTCTCCTGCACTATAGATAATGTTATAAGAAATTGTTGCTGATACTTGATCTCTTCATTAACTCACACATTACATGTTATTTCAGGAAAGATGTCCCCATGCCAAAGTCCCTCCTGTGTGAACCACTTACCAACTTGCTGGTAGACACGGTAAGGCAGAAAAAATGTTTCTGTCATGATAGAGAACAGACACAATCTATCTCAGTATTGTTTTTGGCTTAATTGTTATATACAAATGAAAAGAAAACTACTCTCCTCTTAACATCCGAAAACCCACAAATTATAGAAAAAGTGGGATCCTTTGTCTTCCTCTGTCTTCAAAAAAGAAGTCAAACCCAGTAGTTTTCTAGTAGTTTCTTAATAGTTATCAGTAGTTCTATGTGTATTAATTATCTGTTTTTATACAAATGTTTCTTCTGTTCATGCAATTAGCCTTCGGGCATGAATTTGCAATAAACTTTCTATTGTTTGTGTATCTATCTGTGTGTGTATCTCCACTGCAGTTTCTGTAAGTTTTGTTAGAGGGTGCTTACTGCCACATGATAATTTTTCAATTTCAGTAATACTGTACCAAAACATTTGTTCTTAAGAGACTTGAGATACATAAGATATAGTTTCTTCTTCATTGACTCGACAAAATGTACAAATCGGATAAAACTAAATAATGTTACATGTATGAATAAAGTCATCCTATGCACAGAATATATGTATGTGGCAAATAATGTACAGAATATATGTCAGCAGCAACATTAGAGGTGTAAGGTAACCTGTTGTTTCCCATTTACAGGTGATGTGGTTCAGCAGTGGAGGCACCAAGTCTGTTCTACACAACGATGATGTAGACAACATCAACTGTCTGTATGCTGGGAAGAAGGAACTTGTCTTCATCAACTTCCCAAGATACAGAAATAAGGTAATGAGAAATGTAAACAAAAATGTTGGGAAAGATCTTTCCATCCCAACTCTCAACTCACTCTTTATTAACCTTCTTCCTATGGCCTAAGTCCATAACAAATACAGATTTGTTGCCAAACTACTACCAGACTGAAGGGTAAAGAAAGAAGTGGAGGGAGAAACAAGCTTTAGAAGTCCAATTAATGATATATCTGCCATTCAGGTACTACATGTACATGTGTAGTATAGAAGGGTCCATCTCAAACATAAATGTTTTTAGTCAAAGTAAATAATTCTTCCATGTAATAAAGGTAATATTTTGTTTTGTTTGTTGCAGGTGGACCTTGACCACCCTGAGGGAAGCTACTCAAGTATGGATGTTGAAGCGGTTGATTTTACCAAGTATCCATTCATGAGAGATGTGGAGTATCACAGAGTCAACATGTCAGCAGGGGACTGTCTCTATATACCATACAGATGGTAAAGAACCATGAACATGCTGATAATTTATATTAAACAAGTATTCCTATATAATCTTCAAGAAGATGTAGGGTTCAACTTAGTGTTTTATACATGTTTTTTACAGAAGGAAAACATATTGTTTTTGCTCAGTTTCTTCCTCTTCTTCAAATGAATAAGGTCAATGACCAGGACCAGACGTCTATCACCATGGTAACTGGTGTCCGGTTACATAATGTTGCAAGTGCCATGCAGAACTTATAGTTCAAGAGGGGCTGCATGGTCACCATGTATATTATGAATGTGTTTGAGTATAATAAACAAAACAGTAGATTCTTAAGCTGGACCACGTGAAGGTAAACATGATGCATTTGCTTTTCTGCATATTTCTCTCTTCCCTTCCCACACAGTGTGGTACATTCGGGTGATAGACTCTCGGGTGTCAATTGACTTTTATACTTCACTGTAGGTACCATCAGGTGAACTCCTACGGCCGTAACATTGCGGTGAACGTGTGGTGGGAACACAACCTCAAGAAGTACGTTGAAGCGTTGTCACAGGACTGCGGAGACCTGTCTGAAGATGCGACCCTCGCTGACTTTAACATTGAGAACCCACAAGAAGAACAACCCTCAGATCATCTGTAAGTTTGAGGTGTTTCTGTGTATGTAATGACATGATTATGTTTTGCAGATTTATGAAGTAAAGAAGTCTTTGACATTCAATCAGGTCTATCATCTTGGAGATGAGCATGACGGAGATCTAGAAGTCAAACTTTTTTTCTTCTCCAACAGGAAGGAGTTTCTAGACAGTGTCAAGGATGAGACTGTGACCTTTGAGGTCTTTGAGGCCAGTGTCAAGAAGGTAAGACAAAAAGACTGCATATTTCCCCAAGATTGGATATAAGAGTTTTCTTTTACACAACCAAATATTCCTACCTTGGTTACGTTTCAGTGTCTCTCAGACACCTTCTTCTGAGATTGCATACTTCTTTGACCTTTAAAATCTTTAAAAAGGTCCAGTCTTTTAAGCTGAGTTAACTGTCTGAAATATCCACCATACAAAGCCTCTTTTGTTTCTTCCAATTTTGTTGTTTTACATACATGTGTATGGTGATGTATGATCTACAATGTATGGTCTCATTCTCACAGGATAGGGTGGCTACAGAGCTGATTATTTGGACACCAGAATGCAGACAGATTATTAAAGAGGTGGGTGTGGTTAGTATGTAATAAAGATGTAGAAAAGAATGATATCTTTGGAATGGCGTAAGCCCAAACTAGGTTAGATTTTCCGGCAGGTGACTGAGCAATGAGAACTACATTTCATGAACATGCTTTTATAACACTACCTGGTATTGATGACACTCACAGCAAGTCAATGGAAAGAGCTTACAACTCATTGAATTCTTCTGTTGTTCAGATGTTTGACGAGATTGACAGGAACGAGGACTCTGTACTCACTCAGGATGAATTAGATCTTATGCAAGAGGTAAGCATTCAATTTTAACATGACATGCATAAAACATAAAACATTACCTCTGTACTGAGGTTTTGTTTTTGGCATGTCTGTGTATTGGCTTGTGTTACCATTACAGTTATTTCTACATGCTGGGCACATTGGAGACATTGACAGAAGTTAGGTTAAAGGTCCCAGAAAAGGTTATCTCATTTCCTGTCTTTAATTTACTACTGAATCTCTATTGCCATAAGGGAGCCAGTGAGAAGACACATTTACAGCAAGAACTCCACAATAATGAATAAAGCAAAAAGTTGACAAAAACTCAAAGAGTACCAGGATAGGTGTATAAAACAACCTGTTTGTTTTCAATGTAGGAGGAGCTTGAGGAAGTACTCGGGGAAAAGCTAGATGGCATAAGGACTGTCATCATCGACCAAGTAGCACAGCTCAGACAGGTAAATATCTTTCATTAATTGAACTGTTCGTCTTGATAGCAAGTTGTCAGATGCTTTTTATGCTTCAGCCATGAGTGTAGTTCTTGAAGTGGCTAAGGCCTAACAACAGTCATGTCACTTTCTTCACTTCTTTAATACAGGGTATTAGCAAGGTATTTTTACCCTGTATTAAAGAAGTGAAGAAAGTGACATGACTGTTGTTAGGCCTTAGCCACTTCAAGAACTACACTCATGGCTACCTTCACTCACATCATTTCGAACAGTACATTCATGGCTACTGACGTTACATGAGACATTTTTCCATTTTTCTTGTTATGTGAACTTATTATCCCAAAAGGCAAGGGGAACAGAACTTTCTTAAATCAGGCTTGCATGGATATCATCTATGGACTGTACTTGCTACATGTCCTTGTAGTTTTGATGATTGAAGACTGGTGTCAATAACTAAATTGTTCTGACTTTTGACCACTACAGTCTGTTGAAGCAGAGGTGGCCAGGGGGCGGGCAGAGAGTTATGTAGAACTGGTGAAGAAGCTGCTGGATGAAGGAAGAACAACTTTAGCTGGCGCTGATGAGTCAGCAGAACAAGGTCATCAGGAGCTGTGAGATAGCAACAACTGGATTGACACTGTAACAGTGGGGTTCAAGCGCCGCTAACAGATCCATTCCAACGGGTCCGGACCTTTTGGCATAGTTGTTAGTGTGCTGGTGTTGTGAGCTGGCTGCCTGGGTTTGGCGTGGGTTTGATTCCCGGCGTCCCTGGAGTCAGTGATTTTCCTGTTTCTACTCGCTCCTATTTCTTTCACTGGTTGCCACACCAGGAACCGAACCCAGGCCTTGGCGATGAGGGCGCCAAATCATGAACCCCACTGTTACAGCACTTCTCTGCAGTCTGTCTTAGGTCTCTTGCTGCTAACTCCCACCGTTAACAATAGACATTTGGTGCATGGGTGCACCCTTAGGCGGGTGAAGGTTATTCATAGAAGATCTGGGATGTCCCAGGAAAGATTTAGGGTTGGTGTAAATATTTTTAGTTGGTAATAAGATGAAATTAGGTAAGGCAGCTGGCACAGATTATTTTATTTTGTGCTTTTTTCTGTTGTACAATGTCAAACTCCCATATTCTGTACTTTCAGAACCAACCCATACAACATTTCCAGATATATTTGTTGTAGACGATTGGTGATAATATATACATGTAATGCATCTACCGGTACTACTTTTCTTGAAAGCTAAAATTTGAGTGTGATATGTTCTGGCTGCATATCGATATACATGTACATATATACGTACAATAGAAGATTTTAAGTCTGAACCTGTCAACATATGTAACAAGGCTGTAATTTAAAAAAAAACTGAGATATACACTTCAAACATACATTACCAGGTGTTTATATATATATATATTAGAGATACACTGTATGTGAAAGTGACTGTAGCTTAAGTGTGGGGCATTTGGCTTTGAGAATACCAAGGAGCTTTATTTGGCAGCTCCTTGAGAATACTTTAACGTTTCATGTATTATAATGTTTAGGCAAGGAGTGTATAGTGGCCACACCAATTTGTATCTTAGTTCTCAAATACCACCAGTTTCATTTTTTCTGATTTGCAAAAAAAAGTGCAACGTGTAAGGTTCTGAATCAAGCCCTAAATGCTCATTTTTTTGCCACTAACAGTTGAGCAAAGTTTATTTTTTTGGCTGACCATCTCATTGGTCTCCTGCAAAAATCTGAGAACATCAAATCAAATTGGTATGGCCTAAATAATGCTGCTATTACTTATTAGAGGTGTAATATAACTTTATACGATAACGGTATGTCTTGGTAATTGTTTGATATTGCACAGGATTTATTTTAAGATAGAGGGACTTCAATCAAAATAAATCATTTTCAATCAGATTGTTTCTTGTGCTACTTTCATAACAGAAATTTTCGAATGAATACTAACGTTAACGTTAGTACTAGTATAACGTTAATGTTATACTTTTTAAATTGATATCAGGTAAATTTATGATGTTGTATTACCATGGAGTTCCAAAACAAACTGCTAGGACCAGGTCCAACCTATGCTACCCTAAACCTAGTTTAACCTACCCTAAACAGCAGATGTACAACTGGAAATTCCGCTGCAGTACCAAGGCCAAGGGAAGCTGGTAGGAGTCCAAAATCGACCTTAACCTTCATCTTTCCGGGACAATCTTAGATAATCTTCAGCTATACTACAGTACCTACAAGTCAAATGGGAAACACAAAGAGCAGTAAAGACAGACACACCAAAAACAAATATGCCTCCTTCGTGGATGTAACCAACTCGCGAGTTGCCCTTCAGAAGTACCTCGATCTAATAAAGGTCAATCTGTAACCCGGAAGTTGATTACGACCAAATCATATCGCGCATTGATATTGAGGAAAAAGAAATAAAAAGAGGGAAAGATTTATGGAACATTTTTGGCCTAAATTATGATACGAGTAATACATAAGACAGCTATGTCATTATTTCTCTCAGTTCTGGTACTTTTAGTAATGTTTCAGCAGTAAAATAGTAATTTGGACGTATTTTTTTGATAACCGGAAGTCGGATGTATTGGGTGTTGTTCGGCCGCACTGTTCGGTGGGGAGGGCGACAACGTTACTTTCTCCACTCTTCTATCTATCTGCACATCTTTTCGGCACATTTTGTTTTCCCCGTAGGGAGAAATACCTAGAAATGCGTAGAAACATCCAAATTCTAACAGATAACGACACGAGTTCGATGGGAAAAGTGTTGAGAGAGGAATTCCAGTAACCGAAGGTCTATCGCCATCCTGAATCTTCTAGTTCAGAATCTTGGACGATGACATCGACTGGCGAAAATGGCGCTTCCCGTGCGGTGAGAAAACAGTCCAAATTCAATACGTAAATTATTTAGGACATTCTCTATGCTAAGAATATCAATATTGGCAGTCGTAAAAATTAAATTGCGACATTAAAATTACTTAAATTACTAAGTATTCTACACAAAAGCTTACTTCTGTTTGAAGTCTAACTTGAGGTCCAAGTTGTAGTTTTAGTAAAGTGAGTTGTAGTTTTGGAAATTAAATATTTTGGTCGGTTGATAGTGAAAAATGCTCATGCACAGTGTGATGCATAGTGATATACCAAAGTTGAAGGTCTCTGAGCTGAGACATAAACAAACAGTTTGGGGTGCCCATGTAATTCTGAGCTGGGTTATAGTTTAAAATTGGAGCAGGAAAGGATTAAGTCATTTACATCAGAAATATGACCTAATGATCATGGTGTTTTTTTTGTCTTATAAGAGATATATCACTAATTAACTATTTCAAATTTCAGGATCCAGGCTTTACCTGCAGCTGCTGCAACTTCAGCTTTTTTGATAAAGCCAGCTTGGACAGGCACTTGATTCAGGTCCACAAGGAACAACCGTCTGATGGTCCAGACAAGGGCGAGAACACAACCATCCAGACATCCAAATTTGTCTGTACCCTCTGCCAGAAAAACTTTGTTCGTCAGAACAATTTAAAAAGGCACTGGCTTTCAGTCCACGAGAAAACACCCGATGATCCAGACAAGGCCCATAACTCAACCGATCAGCAGTCCAAATTCTTCTGTAGCCACTGCAATAAAGACTTTTTTCATAAATACAGCTTAGAAATTCACGTAGATGAGGTCCATAAGGAAGACACAGTGAAAAAGACAACACCCGCCCCACCAAACAGTGGTGCCGTTAAATTCTCCTGTAGTCTCTGCCATAAAAACTTCACTCGTAAAAATTGCTTGAAAAGGCACTGGATTCAGGTCCACAAGCAAGATTTCGATGATCCACATGAGGCAAAAAAGACATCCTGTATTCACCCAAACTGTGATAAAGTCTTCTATCACAGGACCAGGATGCTGAAGCATCTTGAAGATGATCACGACATGAGACTGTCCAGTAGTACCCATCGCTTTGACACAGAGAGGGACTTCCTCGACTGGAAGGAGAGAGAAGAGAGAAACAACCTGGTCCAATTCAGTAAGCAGAGTGGATCCAATTTTGGAAAAGATACGCGATATTCTTACTATATTTGCGAGCATGACGGATCTGATAGGGCTCACCGCGCCCACTGGCAGCCTGCTCGGCTGTCGTCGCGACGAAACAAGAAGGGGCGCGTGAAGACCGGACACGTCTGTCCCGCCAGGATGCTGGTGAAATCTGAGCTAAACTCAAGTGTGCTGAGAGTGACATACATAAGTACTCACAACCACGAGCCTCGTCCACGTGTTCCGAGCGCACGTTCTCGCCGCACGTGTTCCCGAACTACGCCCCATACGCGTCGCACGGGCAAACCCAAGTCACGAGGTAAGAAAGTAGCATCAAGTGTTTCTCAAGCTACACAACCATCTACAGCGCATGCTGAAGACAACAATGCTGCTTTGTTCATAGCTGATGATCTTGGAAATGAAGACATGGATTCTGAATCGGATTCTGGCACTGCTGGCTCTGAAGTGTTGATGCTGGAAGAGACAAGAGGATACCTGGCAGAACTGATAGGGATGGTCCAGAATGAGCAGGTGCAGAGAACTGTGCTGCCTCAAATTCATGATGTGTTGAAGAAAGCTGTATATCAGTGTAAAGCCATCAAAGCTCAAGCTGCCAGTGCCAGCAGTGTTGTACAGCTGTACCAGTCAGAACCGGTGTTACGACAGCCCTTACCAGGACAGAGGGAACATGACTATTACTGCATATAACAGCTTTCCACCTTAGGCCAGCTACATGCTGGTCCCTTGTCCCATCCCAATAGATTTATAAATGATTTCTTACATATTGAGGCTCATATAAAAACAAACGCATAGCCTATGTTGTTCATGACAGGCCTTCTGGCAGACAGTTGTTTCTTTTAGTCCTTTAGGTTTACTAACTCTAAAGTTTGGACACTTATTACTTGTTTTAGTAGAGAAACTCAGTTTAATGTTTATGGAAAGGTGCACTTTTCAGCTACAGATCTATCAATCAAGGTGTATGTACAGTCTTTGATGATTTGTATGTCCTTTCAGTATTCTTGTTCATTTAATAGGAATAGAATAACATCTTTAGTATGTTCATCTGGTTGCCAAATTCATAAGATTTAAAAAAGCATAACAAGTCAACTTGTTACTATGCTTGGCACTGTTGATGTAAGGAGTAAATTTACCCCCATAGAGAAACATCTATTAATACATTTGTATTAATAACTTCTTATTAGAATGGAAGAAATTGGAAATATACATTGTTGAAAATTGTTCCCATGCAATAAACATTGACAAAAATTCAGACACTGACTTCCTGATGTGTTACATGTACTTTTATTTTCTAAATGTGTTGAAAAGCAGGATCATGATGTTGCTCGCCTACTAGGTTTTATTTACATCACTATTTCACAAATACACAACTCTGTAATACAACTCTGTGATTACGCATTTGAAATAAATAAAAACAGCAATAATATATAGGACAATTTTACTATGCAACATGTGAAAGGCAATTTCAAGTAATACATGTAAATTGTAAATAGGATCTCAAACACTATCATTATTGTATGGGGTCTCCGTATTGGTTGGTTTTCGGTAGAGCAGGACTTGATGGAGGCTGTTCTGGGGGTTTTGAGGCTACTTCTCTTGCTTGAGCAAGTGTTCCTGTGACAGAAATGCCGTTAGTGCCTTTTGAATCAATCTACAGGTTCATTTATCAAAAGCAAACACAATTACATTTTCTAAACACAGCAAAAGTTGTAGACCATATTACTGGTAAGGACAAAAGCAAATGGGGATGTTGTATCTACCTGATTCTTCTTTCCCCAGTTGCAACAATCTCACTTTCTCCTCATGAGCTGACCTGATCTTGTACCATTTCTGCTGACACTCCCTACTTCTGGTGTAGGCAACTACCCAACCAGAGCCTGCTGCTACCACTAAGGGAACAACAACAAAGTTTAAATGGCCTTCTGGCAAAGTACTGCTTGCAAAGAAAAACTCTTTCAGGCTCATAGTTTATTATACATAACATTACATGTACAAGTGAATTACATTAAAAGGTACATGTATAAACATCTAAAGCTCAACTTAAAAGACATGTTTTCATGGATATTTACAAAGGAAAAAAATAGTTTGGTCTGATTGCATTTTACCTGCAGGTTAACACTGCCTGAAATCTAAAATCAACAGCATACTAAACAAATGTACATGCATCTATACTAGAATTTTGAGCATTACTATTGAAGTTTGTGCCCTTACCAATAGAGATGACCATGGCTGGATTACTCCCCCATGGAAGTCTTTTTCTCAGAGCACTCTGTCCTATAAATGTCACCAGGCCACCTGTTGATTGAAGAGCATGCAAACATTTGTTAGGACTTTGATACACTGCAAAAGGTAGAGTGATAAATAGTTCTGTTCAATAAAGGGCTGTGACAACAGCTAGGGATTCAAACTCCCAACCCCTTGGTCCAGAAGTCAAGTCACTATTAACCACTGAACTATAACATACTATGGAAAAGTTCAAACCAAAATTTATATGATGATCAATTTGGGACATATCTAGGTCAGATTGTGAACATTTCTTCTACCCCTTTCACCCTTAATTATTAAAGTTAATAATAGTGACACTGACTGGTGTCTTTTATTTTACTAGTAATAGTTACCTGTGACTGTTGCGAACACTCCAGACATAAAGGCCGCAGACTGACACACAGTATAAGCTTTTGAGCCCTGGAAAAAATGAAATGTCATTATTGTAAGTTATAAAACAAATTCACAATAGCATAAAAATTCTGAAAGATTTGTGAAAGTTCATACCGGGTATTTCTCCTCTACTTCAGGATCATCCATGGGTCCTGTCAACGGCATTTTGCTGTCACTTCAGTTTTTCCAGTTATTGTTGATAAACCTAAGAAACTGTCACAAAACACGTGTGTGATATAAACATGACACACCCTCCAACCTGGTCAATGTACACATTTTATAACAAAGGTCAAGCTGTGACCCGGAAGTATATCGGGATCAACTACATCGCGCATTAATATTCAAAAAAATTTTAAACACAGAAAAACGGTATACTTGTAAAACCTGATTGGCAAAGAGCTTATTAAATCTATCCAGAGATTACATAACTATTGTTTTTCTATTGGTCTTAGTTTTGGGTTACAACAGGGAAGGAGTTATTTCGAGACTATTTTTTTAAACTCCCGGAAATCGGAAGTACTCGGGTGTTGTTCGGCTGCGATGTAAAGTGGGGAGGGCGAAAGACCAGCGTTTTCCAACTGAACTTTGCTCGGTGGATTTTGGATGTTTCGCCCCGTTTCTTCTTATCGTCCAGCCCGACTATTGCGTACGTTTGTGTCCCTGTTTCCTGAGAGGAGGAGGATGTTGAAGCTGGCTGGTTACGGCGCCCTGGCGGCGGTGCTGTGGCGGTACGCCGGGCTGGGGTGGGCGGGGGTTGTGGGCGGGATCACCGCCGTGTATCTCGTCACTGGCGGCTGGAGGTTCGCCCGTGTCGTGGCGCTCACGCTACCGAGAGATATTCAGTAAGTCTGCAAATATTCATTATATTGCACGGCGTTTTATAATCTTCTTCTCCCGGCCTACAGCTTTAATAATTTGTGTATGGAAATATCATATTGAAATTCACCCATAAAAATTACGTTGTAAATTAAATCTTTTATGATCTTTGATCGCTGACAGAACTACAGATCTAGACGAGCCACGTGACGTTCTTATTTTTTATACCTGTTTTATTTATTGTTTTTAGTCCTCTATATTCCTCACAAGTTCCTATTTTGATTATGATTGACATGCAAATGCAATTGCCATCTAATTTGGCGTACGTTTATGAATAGCAAATGTCAGATTAAATGAATATTGTTATCTAGTGATACTGTGTTGTTGACTTTGCCTATCAAACCTTTTCCCTGCTACGATACTGACATGTTTTATCTAACAATTCAGATTTTGTGCAAAATCACGTGCAGGTCAAATGATCCATTATACTCGATCAATAAAAAGTACTTACATTGTTGCAAAATGCATTTGTTATTGATTTATGTCTTAAATATTGTATGTAACTGTTAAGTGTTACATCTGTATATACTAATTTTGGAGTTTAGGATAAGTTGAATGGAATAGAAAGAAAATGGAATTGTAAGTAATTGCGACTTTTATTAAGATTTATATCAATAACACTCTAATTTCTTCAGTGCTCTTGGAAGTCTGCTGAAGTTTAAGATGGCCATGAAGAAACACACCAGGAACAAGACCACCATTCCAGACATGTTCAAGGAGACAGTGGCCAGGCACCCCAACAAGGTACAGAGATCTAGAGTAGCCTTGCAGTATTTCGCTTTACAATACCAAGCCGGACATGATGTAGGCCTGCTCTTTATTTTGCTATATATTTTGCTCCTCATTGAATTTTGCTATATCTGGTCTGGTGATATCAGGATGGTGATTTTATGATCATACAAAGCTTTTCCTGATATTGGGAAAATCCCCCATGAAAGTCCTGATTAGTACTCATAGTCATACTTGTATTTTGTTATAATACTTGGTACAGCTCTTTGTTGTAAAATGAAAAAAAATTACCTGTCAATGTTTCTATAGTTCTTCTCTTAGTTACCTTCAACGCAATACTGACTTACAGCTTTTGGCTCCTGGTTGGTGAGCCAGCACTGCAAAGAGAAGAATGTAGTCCTAAATGTGACTATAGTCCTAAAATAATGTGACAATCTTGTACCCCCTCCTCCAACACAGCTTTATCAAAGATCACATTGCCTGTAACTTGCTGTACATAAGAAAACAGAAAGAAGATTCGAATCGCCATGTTTTCTCCTTTTCCCAGGTCGCCTTCATGTACGAGGATGAGATCTGGACATTCCAGGAGCTGGATGAGTATTCCAACGCCGTGGGGAACTACTTCAGCCAGCTGGGGTACCGCAGCGGGGACGTGGTGGCCCTGTACATGGAATCCCGGCCCGTGTTTGTCGCTATCTGGCTGGGCCTGGCCAAGATTGGCGTGGTGGCTGCCCTCATCAACTTCAACCTGAGGATGGAGTCCCTGGCTCACTGTATCAATGTGTCGCAGGCAAAGGCACTCATATTTGGGGCTGAACTTTTCGAAGGTAACATTTATTTGTCCTATGATGAAGGAGAAGTAAAAATGACTTTCAAAATAAGGAATCTTCTAAGGAAGTCAGTTTCAGAAGAAAACTTTATCAGTTCATTGTAATAAATTACTTGTAATGGATGCAATGTTGCCACTAGATGCAATGTACAATCTGTCCCTATCCCTATCCCTATCCCTCTATATTTATCCTCTATCCCTATATCCTATCCCTATCCTTCTAAGTTCTATCCCTATCCCTCTATCCCTATCCCTCTATCCCTATCCCTATCCCTCTATCTTTATCCTCTATCCCTATCCCTATCCTGCTATCCTTATACCTCTATCCCTATCCAGGTTTGGACAGAACTGATATATATATACAAGCCAATGATTGGCAGAAATATGGCAGGAATATTGAATTTGCTGCCAGTTCTTCTTGCCATGCCAATATGACTCTTTGATCCAGTTTGGAATACATGTAGTATCAAAACTCTCTTTGAAACTGGTTAACATATCAAAATTTTCTATAGTTGGCATAATAGGAAACTTAAGAGCACCATGATATTTGATGTGAATATTATTACATCTTTCCCCACAGCTGTGGTAAAGTCTCGCTCGCTGCTGAATAAGGATCTCCAGTTGTACTGTCAGGGACGTCCAGCCATGCGAGCCATCGTGTCCTACACAGACCTGGACCCAGAGGTCACCAACTCTCCAAAACTCCCCCCACCGATGGCTGTCACAGAAAAACCTACCTTCAATGGTTAACCACATATGCATGTGTATAGAAGTGCATTTTCTCTCTCTCTGTATATCAGCAGTATAGTCCGGTCTTATGCATCTTGTACTTACATGTACAAAACTGGTGTGTTACGCCTAAAGGCGGTTTACCGATTATGCAACAAACAAACAAAGCAGTGCTGACAGCTATGTTGGTGACCTTACTTGCATTTTAAAGGAAACCATTGGAGAAAGTGAACAGTTCCCAAATCAATTTCTTACCTTGTTTATATGTCTTGTGAAGGTTTAAACTTTGCACTGTATCTGTGTGTCATTGGAAAGTTTTCTTCTAGAATTCTTTAAGCAGCAGACTGATTATTTGAGAGGGTCAAAAGGTCTTTAGGTTGACGAAAATGTTATGTTTTTTGTAGTCCATTCACGATAGTATTGTTTCCACAGATACTCTTCTGTATATCTACACCTCTGGCACGACGGGACTACCCAAAGCAGCAGTTGTCAAAAACAGCCGTTATTTCTACATGGCCAATGCCGTCCACCACTTGTTTGGCCTGCGTAAAGACGACGTGGTTTACTGTACACTGCCGCTGTATCACACGGCGGGCGGGATCCTGGGCGTGGGACAGGCGCTCATCTTCGGGATGACGGTCGCTGTTAGAAGGAAGTTTTCCGCGAGCAACTTCTGGGACGACTGTGTGAAATATAACTGTACGGTAAGGAGATGGAGTGATGTACTGAGTGATGATGCAGAAGCTACATGTACTCCTTTAATTTTTGCATAGCCTTTTGTAACAGTAAACATATTTGTACATGTACGTCTTTTCCTCTGTACCTACCTACCTACCTACCTAGTCCCATGACCGACACTGGTCGTCGGGGGGACAAGGCAGACTTTGCAGCAGGAATATAGCCAGGTCCTCCTGTCTTGGGCTGCTGTCAGGAGTTGTGGGACGGTGAGGGACGTCCAGTCCTTGATGTTATCCAACCAGACTTTCTTCTGTCTACCTCGCCGTCGCTTCCCTTCCAGCGTTCCTTGTAGGATGGTCTTTGCCAGGTTGTTGTGGCGGGTCAGATGTCCAAACCACTGCAGCTTCCTGCGCCGTACAGTTGACATCACTGCTTCTTGGGGGCCAACAAGGCTGTATACTTGCTGGTAGACGTATTCGTTGGTCTTATGCTGGTGGTATGAGATGCCAAGCAATCTCCGCAGGGACTTTGTTTCGAAGGCTTGGATCCTGCGTTCTGTGTCTGTTAGAAGCGTCCATGTCTCGCATCCATACAGCAAGATCGAAACTACCAGGGATTTGTACAGTTTATACTTGACTGCAAAGCTGATGTTCTTGCTTTTCCAAATCCTGGTAAGGCGAGCCATCGCTGCCGTTGCTAGAGCTATCCTTCTGTGGACTTCTACTTTACTGGTGCCATCCTTTGTGAGTGTCCCCCCCAGGTAAGTGAAAGAGTCCACTGTTTCAAGCTCCTCACCATTCATGAAGATGGTTGAGTACATCTCATCCCTAGTGCTGCTGTTCACCATGACTTTGCTCTTCTCCGTGCTGACTTCCATTCCGAAGGAGCCAGCGCTCTGGTTGAGTTTGTCGGTGAGTGATTGCAGTTCAGCGTTGCTGCCGCCAAGTAGGTCAATGTCGTCAGCAAACCGAAGATTGCAGAAGATTCCTCTGTACATGTATTTCTAATTTGGCACATCTTTGTCTACTGTGAATCACTTTATATTCGCAGTAGCAAAATTTGGCGGTCTGCGAAAAATGGACATATTTTCGTGGTTTATTTGTCCCAGTATTTAATAACTTCGTGGTATATAAGTGACCGTGAAAACCGCAAATATTACAGTATTTTACAAGTTGTCACTCCACAGAACTCAACATATTAAATACAAATGTATGCAAATAAAGTATGAATAAATACAGTAGTAAAATTGGTAAACAAGAAAAAATATACTTTTTTAGGTTTATAGAACAAAGAAGAGCTAATTGCATTGTTGAACATTTTTGATAACCTCTGATGTTTTGTCTCATGACCAGGTTATTCAGTACATAGGTGAGATCTGCAGATACCTGCTGGCACAGCCATCCCGCCCCTCGGAGACGCAGCACCGCGTACGTGTGGCGCTGGGACAGGGGCTGCGGGCGCGCAATTGGGAACACTTCATGAGCAGGTTTGGGATCAAACAAGTCGCCGAGCTGTACGGAGCTACTGAAGGGAATGTAAACATTGCTAATGTCCCTGGTAAGGATACTGTTTTTTGCTATACTTTTTTTCCATGTTTGATTCTGAAGAATTTCTTATTTTCCCAAACTAATAGAAGCAGGTGAGAAACTTTACTGGCTGTGTAAGAAGGAAACCCCTTATAATACACAATTTTTTATGTTATTTTCATAAACAAGAGAACAACAGATCATGAGAGGCGAATTAAAGAACATACAAAAAGGACAACATTGTACCATGTATCCAAAAACATATACATTGTAAATATTAAAGTAAAAAGAATCTGAATACAAATTAACTTCATGTCTCAGATGAGGACCATAGTTTGATTGTATGCAAGTTTTTCTCATTGAAACATTTTGTTTCTGTTTAACTGATAGATGTTTTCCAACTATTTTCCTTAGCAATCTCCTAGGAGGTATATACATAACAACTATTATATAAAAGATTGGTGAGGAAACATCCAACATTGTTGTATGACAGGAAAAGTTGGAGCGTGTGGGTTTAACTCTGCCATCCTGCCGTGGGTGTACCCCATCAGACTGGTCAGGGTGGATGAGGCCACAGGACAGCTCCTCAGGGGGCCAGACGGACTCTGTATTCCTGCACAAGCAGGTAGGGACATACACACACAGTGTTAGAAATACCCATCTGCAGTCTACATTATACAGAGACATTTTCAGTATTGCAGGAGAAAAATTAAGCAACCTGCAATTTTGCAGACTGAAAAAATCAGGCTTGGGGTTCAAAATGGTGTTGGTATACTAGTAATGTAACAGATTTTGCATTTAGTACTGACTCAAGTAATTTTGCATGTACATTGTACTTTTCAAATCGCATGTGAAACATTTGTGAAAATGCTATTTTGTATATGATATGGGCTAAAGTCCAGACTTTACCTGTACCATAGCAATAAAGAAGAAAAAAGGTTTAGGAAAATTAGGTGCACACAGGGCTAGAAATACTTTTTTCTTCTTTATTGCTATGGTACAGGTAATATTGAAAATTACCTGCACCAGAATTTTTTCCTGCATATTCAGGTGACATTTTGAGCCCTGCCACAAATTTAAGTTTCTGCAGTTGGTATGTAGAGATTCTGAAAATGATTTTCTGAATAATTGAGAAGACACCAAGAAAGTCCTTGCAGAAAGAGAATTGGAACAAGATTTTACAGTTTAGAAAGAGATTCTGGAAGAAAATCTCTTTAATAATGAGATTTCTTGTGTCAACTTGTGTTCAGTTGAGGTTTACAAATAGATGTTTGTCACTCCACACTCACTCCATCATGAGTGAGTGTTTTCTTTACTACATGTACCCCCAGGTGAGTGTGGTGAGCTGGTAGGAAAGATTATCCAGGGGGACCCCATGAGGGAGTATGATGGGTATGCAGACAAGCAGGCAACCAAGAAGAAGATAGCCTATGATGTCTTCAAGAAGGGAGACATGGCTTTCTTATCAGGTGAGTTTGTTCATTTGTTTGTTTGTTCATTTACAAAAGTATTTTGTACAAAAGGTATCGGATTTTATGACTAATAGGTTAAATATTTTAAGGATTCTTGAGGATGCAATTTAATGCTATTGGCTAGTGTTTTTTTTCAGTGTCAAGTGATGTGTGTTCATTGTTAGGAGGGACTCCTAGCAATGTAAGGAAGTACTGCAGCTGGATCATTCCCAGAGCAAATCTTTATTATTAAATTTATATTGTCTAACTTTTGTTTCCTTTTGGACTTTCAAAAAATTTGTCTTCACTTATCTCCACAGACGCACATCAATCAATAGTTTGTACTTATAAACCTGCCTTTCTGACAACTCTCCAGTGTCACTGATGAAAGGTAGTGGATGCTACCTTAAACGTCTGACCATTTCCAAAATCATATCCATTTGCTTGCGTACCTGTTTTTTTTTTCGTAAATCATTACATTGTCCACAACTTTTTAAAACGTTTCCTCTTCATCTCAGGTGATGTCCTGATGATGGATGAGCTGGGCTACCTGTACTTCAGGGACCGGTCAGGCGACACGTTCCGCTGGAAGGGTGAGAATGTGTCCACCATGGAGGTGGAGGGCGCGGTCAGCAGACTACTGGACCACAGGGACACCGTGGTGTATGGGGTGGAGGTACCAGGTAGGTGCATTGCTAACAGAGACCCCTGGCAACAAAAGAGAGTACTGCAGTAGATTTATCACAATAAGTGGGAGATACCAAACATGCCATTAATGGCTTTTTCTCCACCCATACACATCTACTTTTCCAATGTATTATGTTTTGTACTTTGCTTTTATTATGTATGTTCAAATAAATAAAACTAAAAATCAAGTACAGGTACATGTTGTAGGTTATTCAATAAATCTACTACTGAATACTACAAGAAATAACAAAGATACTGAGACATTATGAATATGATGACAAAATCACAAACAGGGTTGTAGATTACTGGTTGAACGTACCAATCAGTGTAAGTTACTCTATGCCAGCTCCAAAAAAAAGTAATAACTATAATTTTCAGCCTGTAACTGTGGTATTTTAATATGAAGACTCCATGCAGGAACATTTATGATATCCTGTATGTAGTGGCAACGAGTGCCCATTCCTGACATTTGAACTGCTTGTAGGCATGGAGGGTCGGGCAGGAATGGCAGCTGTGGCAGACCAGAACAACTCCCTAGACCTGAAGAAGCTGGCCAGCAGTTTGAAGCAGGTTCTGCCTGTGTATGCCATCCCCATGTTCCTCAGACTTACCAAAGCTGTGGACACTACAGGTGGGGATCCTCTTTGTATTCAATATTCATGTCAATTATATGAAAAGAAACTGTCACAATTATTATAGGGGATAACGCAACACCAAGCTGTTTTTCAAAATGGCATTGAAGATCCTTTCTACAGATTGACAATGATTAGTTACAATATTTGCTCAGATTTTGAGACATTTGGAAGACTGCCATAAAATCAGAGAAATATATTATTATCATTCCCACACCGTTGTCAAAAATGAGAATTATATGCAATACCCATTGGAAAATAAGTTGAATACTTTTTGCATTAGATTGGTGCTCTCGAGAGTTGATGTTCTCCATTAAAACTAGCTTGTGTGGTCTAAGCTGTATAAAATGCTATTGGAGGGTAAATGGACCTGTCAATTATTAATGAATGTGTCCTGTGATGATCCTAGACAAGCTATCCTTGGTCTATGGTAATAATAAGATTAACAGTAGATTCCATACACTGTACTAACACTTCTTCAAATTCTTTTCGAGTTCATTCTGATTAGCTTGAGGCATTAATGCCTCACATAGACACATGGTTGAGAGTAATAGTCTCAACCATGTGTCTGTGTATTTAGTGACTGTGTTAGAAATGTGTGTAAACTTGTGGCATGTTACGTGTGAATGAGGGATGCCTTGTGTGGGGGATTCTGGTGTTTGCTCTGTTTTTCCCCATGAAAAACCCTGCCGTGGTCACTTCTCCTCAATAAGACCTTTCCTTTAACCATGAAGGCATGCCCACCATGCTATGTGGTACACTAACCGCACCAGAAACTGGCATTCAAACATGACTGGACCTCTCTATTTTCACTGAAATGCTTTAGCACCACATTCTCTGTAAGAAAAAGAATAGCAACTCACCAACATGATTGTCTTCCAAGTTCTACATTTTCTACCACACCAAAAAAATCAACTCAGAACTAAAACAAAATGCTGAAAATTTATATTTACATTTACAAAACTGTATATGAATTATGATGCAGAGTAAACATACAGAACAACATTTAGACCTTGATTTTATATGATTCTGATGTGTAAATTGTGGTATAGCTTAGCCAGTGCACATGTTTGTTATTGTGACCCTGGAAGCTTGTTTTGAATGGACAGAAGAAGGGAGTACAGAAATAATGCTGTTTTCTCTGTATAGAGATATATATATAAATACCAGGCCATGGCTGTATAGGTGGCATGGTAAGAATTGCCTGTGCAACTAGGGTAGCACCTGCTCAAAAAGGCACTTAGAACTTAACAAAGATTGAAAAGTGTGGTAATGTAAATAGTGCATGTCTGACATAGTATGTGCCCTGGTTTCAGAGAGCCATATCATTTTGTAAATCAGTATTCATGTACTTTACATTTGGAACGTCCATGTAATGTACATGTAGATGGTCTTAGGTTCAAGGTTCTTGACAATTATGAATGAAACAAAAAATTCACAAAAAGTCAAAATATATTTTTTTTTCAAATTTTTACAAAGGTCTTTCTTGTTTACAATCTACATGTTGCATGATGGAAAAAGAAGCGTACAACCTAACAGTAGTGAAAGCTACTCCAGGGCATTGACCCAGCACATGTTGTGGCAGGTGGATTTTATATGGAAAACACAGCTCTTACCTCATAAGAACCATTCAGACCAAATAGTACACCATATTACTCCATCTTGAGCATTTCACTCAGACAGAGGACCTATGTATTGGTCATCTGTCTCACTTAAATGCCCAGTTAGCTTTTGTAGATAAGCTATTTATGTGGTGTACAGTGTTCCAGTCTAGAAACTTCTAATACCCAAAGTAGTGAAATATAATTTAATACAGCCACTTGAAAGCAAACTCATTCGACAAGAGGTTTGTATGTTGGAGTGTCATTCAATTCTATCCTGGGAAACACAAAGTGTACACCATCTGTATCTAACAGTTATATGGAATTAGTTCTAATGACGGGTTTTAATACTGTACATTAATATATGTTTGTGGGGCTAAAATTTCACTGCACTGTTAAAATCAAGAGGTTGAGGAATAAAGTGATCGTAGTAACACACCAGAAGGCAGAGTGCATGTTGGTGGTAATATCAGATTGTGGTGAGATGTCACAGAAAGGATCGCAAACTTAAAATCACAGCGAAAATTTCAAATTTTACAGTAACAGCAATTTAGATAAATGCGAGCCATCTAGGAGAAAGCATGTGTGTTGCCCTATCATCTTTTCTTGACACTATAGTGTCCCAGCCAGACTGTATTGTAAAGACATGGTGTTTTTGTATTGTGTATCAGTTGTGATTGGTTTCTTTTCAGAGCCAGATGTTGTAAAGTGCATGTAGTACATGTAGACATGTGTGGCATCTGTTTGTAAAAGGGAAACAATCTAGGGTTTCTCAAACATCTGCCATTGTTGTTCCCAGTGAGATACAAACAGATGTAATGAACATGCTGGGCGGAGAGTTATTTGATATGATTATGGTTGCCATGGACAACCAACTGTAGGTCTGTCAGGTTGGTAGCTCCAAGGACAAAAGCAACCTAAAGGACAACCAAAGGTGCACACCATTGCATGTACATGTACTTATCCATACAAACTGTACTCTTTAAAGACAGTCTTCAACGTATTGCCTTGCCATCCCTTGATTGGATGAGTGGTTGATTGATTTACAATGTAGACCATAAACTATAATACTATAGTCTTTATCTTTGCACAAAAGGCGGATAGTACTGTAAACTACATGTGTACCTTCTGTGTGTATGCTCACCAATAAAGTACAGCTAAACACCCTGGCATGAATTGGACATTTGGAATAAAAAAAATCAAAGGAAACAATATGAAATGTTACTAATTTCACCTTTATAAGAGCTTATACTTTTAATGAGTATAAAATGTTTGTGAGTGTGAGGTTTACAAAGAATATATACAGTGTGCTCTGCAAAGAAATACCATAATGTGGTCATCGTTCTTAAGACTGTGGCATCTCTTTATAAATCTAATTAATCTGTGCAGATAGTAGTGTTGTATTGTTATGGCACCACTTCTTTGTGTACCTGGGTATTGTTTGGACCTGTTTGTTTAGGTTGCCATAGACAGGGCTTGTTTGGAAGAACCGTTGGAATTCAAATTTACCCAAGAAGGAGAATGTTTGCACCGTGTTGATGCACAAATAATCACTGATGTGGACATTGCATGTAATCGACCGTCTAGTTTTCTAAACTACATCATTGTTCCACTTCTAGAGACTAAAAATGTCAATATACAATATAAACATGCAGCACTTTTACAAGCCAGTGAAAAAGAACAATGTAGAACCCTTTCAATGAAAGCAGTGAGAAATTATGATGATGGATAAAACAAGAAATTTGAAAAGGCATATATAAGTACATGTATCTCATGGAGGTACAAACATGTGTATATGATGTTCCATTACTTGTTTTTAAGGCCACACCAATTTAATTTGTTGGTTCTCGGATTCACCCGTTTCATTATTTTCTGATTTGCAAATTTCATTGTTTGAATTACAAACCGGCCTGGTATGTTGACTTCATAGCTCCTGAAATAGCATTTGGGGCTATCATAGGATGCCTAGGGCTGTTTTATATTCTATTTTTTTCGCCCTGTCGCTTCATCATTTTTGTGAAAAAATCTGAGAACCATCAATTAAATTGATGTGGGATAAGCAGAGAAATTATGATAACAGTGGCACATGAAACATCACCTATATTTTCTGTTACACTGTTTCAGGCACCTTTAAGCTGAAGAAAACAGACGTACGTAAGGAAGGGTTCAACCCTGACGTCATCTCTGACCAGATGTACTACATGGATCTGTCCGCGGGAACGTACAAGCCGCTCGACTCTGCCGCGTACCAAGATATCGTCAACGGGAAAATACGCTTGTGATATCTTCCATTTTTCCACCTTATATGTGTGTGTATGGATACATTACATAGGTCAAGTTCTTTGGATCCCAACTAGTTGAAGAATTAGGGCTAATAGAAGAGTTTAGGACTGAGGAAAATGATTTTGGGGATTTTTAATGCACAAAGTAGAGTTAAAGCATATTAATCAATCAATCAGTCAACGAACAAATCAGGAGTCAGGTCTAGACATAGCCTGGTTGCCAGCCCTGTTAGCTGTATTCTCCTTTACTGAATGCTACCAGGCAGGGGTGACAGAGCAGACTAAGCTAACAAGACTGGTATCCAGGCTAAATGACATGTTCAATGCAAAAAGATACTTAAATGATGATAATATAATTGTGAGGTGATGAACAAAAAACAGCAGAATCAATAGCTGTAATCTATTGGAAAACTTAAAATTGACCCAAATGACTTTTAAGTGGCACCTAAAATAATTGGAATGAATTTTCTGTAAATTCTTCTTGTAGCTTACATGTAATGAAATGATTCTATTACATGTATCAGTGAAATAGTTGTTAAGACATTTTACAGGTCTTCCTTCTACTTGCACTATAGAAGAGGAGCTTGTGTAATAGGTTTTAACCCTTTTATGCTAAGTTAGAAAGGTAGAAGTAAAGGTTTTATCTGAAGCTAGGATGAGACAAGTTCAGCTTAGAGGATCACTAATGAAACGATGGAGAGGACAATGATAAAATGGTCACCCCTCCTGACACTTTTAAATGGAATAGTCCTAAATTACTTGTAGTATAAATGCAACCTATCTACTATTAATGCTAAACACACTTAGGAAAATATTCTCAAGCATATTCTCAAATCTCAGGATGTTTTTAGGTACATGTATACCTAAATCTGTAATGAATAATGTCTTACTTTGATGATGTCATATTTTCTTGTTCTTCTTCCTATCTTTTTTTTACTTTTCTAAATTGTAGATTTTGTTATTTTATCACTTTACTATTCATCACTTTACTATTCCTTTTGTACAAAAAAGTACCTTAGCACATTGTATATAAGCTGGTTATGAGGTTATACATGTAATGTTGAAATCTGAATATACTGTTAAGAATGGCCATATGCCCTGAAGATATGATAAGAGACACTGTAAGCTAGTTATGTGGGAATGAATGGCACTATCAAAGATAAGAGCATTGGAAAACTTGTGATTTGAGTGATAATGTTGTTGATGCCCAGTAAAATTTAAGCCTGATACAAATTTAAAATTGTAATCGAGATGATGTCAAAATACCTGTGGGTTGTTGGTAAGGAAAACATATAACTATACACTGTGCATGCATGAAAAGAGCAGGAAAGCTTTATGAGAAAGAATTTCAAGTATGTGAATCGCAGCTAGTACTTATAACTTGAGAAGTGGTCTGCAGGTTGCGTTGTGTGCTCAGATGACAGCATGTTTGGACGGCAAACCTTGCCATTATGTAAACACCTGGTGTTCACAGCACTATTGTGTTGATTGGTATCCTAGCAACAAGGGACAACGTTCACGTGTTGTCTGGAGCTTATGTAAGGTGGATTAGAGGCAATCCGTGCCATTGTGTAATCAGTTTGTGAACAAAGATGTTTATTTTGCACAAAGGTTTTGTTATGAATACTAACAGATGATTTTATTGCTTTGTGAATGATGGACTGTCTGTTGATAATCTTGATAAAGACATACATGTGTGCTGTTTTAAAATGATTTATTTTTGGCCATGCCTCATTGGCAGAGCCTTGTTTTCATAATGTTGCTGCTCTGTTCTCTGTACTGCTAGTGATAGTACATGTAGTAATGTTAGTTTAAAGTTGTGAAATGTAACCATTGATGTGCATTGAGTGTTCTAAGCATCTAGTGGTCTTGGCAATTTTGCTGTGCATGTATTTTGTTTGTGTGATTTGAATTCCACTTTACAATATAAATAGCAAAATAATTTTCTATCACAATCATGTCAATCAAAATTTGATTAAGGTGGATTTGACTTTAATGTTTGGTGTGGAAAAGAGGATTTGTTGATGTTTTTGTTTGCAGTCCAGTGATTGTAAAGATGTTCTTGAATGGGTGACTTGAATCTGCTTTGCTTTGAATCAAAGAACAACATATCGTTATTTGTAACTATGTTGAGGCACACTGAGAAATAAATGTGTGAAAACAACAGATTTTCTCCCATTTTGTAACATACAGCAAAACACTGCAGCAAGAAACGAAACACCACTTAAAAATGCACAATATATTTGTTTATTGTCTCCATTGAGTAACACTTCCACTGCGCATAAAACCCCAAGCTAGTGAAAAATGACAACAGTAGTACACAACTACTTCAATACTGATATATGCAGTCATTTTTACACGTTTGTTTACACATACTTTTGAGTCCATTAAGAGAATATGGTGAGAAAAAGAAAACATACATGTACAGCATGTTTAAAAAGTTTCGTACTATACAAATGTTCACTGCAAAGGTTATACACTTTTCAAAGACATTTCAAAATAATTCTTTTTTACTGTGGCTTAAAATCGACCTCTTGTCGCATTTTCTCTAGTACAGTTTGGAAATCTATCTCTTATTTACACTTATCACAGGCGTACTTTGGACGGGGCATACATTAGCTCCTTCGCTTGGGCAATTTTAAGTTAGGATGTCATCTTTGACAAAAGTCCTCCTGTTTACTTCAGAATAAACCAGGCCATTTTTAAAGTTAATTTGGTCTTGGAAGACATGGCACACATACACATTGCTGATTTGGTTCAACTTCACATTAAATCATAAAGATCCTCAAGTGAAAAAAACAAAACTGTCATTTTACTTTCTGAAATGATCCAAATTTGTGTCACATATTTGAAGTGATATTGCATTTTGTTGGGCATGAATATTATCAACCCGTATGCAACAAATACATTACTACTGTAGTTGTGAACACTTAAAAACATATGTATATATATAAAATAGATATATGCAAACAGTGTACACTTTATACAATACTGTTCAAGTCTTTACTTGACAAAACGGGCTGTGTGACATATACTGTACAATGTCAAAATTAAACAATACATTGTAATCATTATTTCCCTGTCAGCACAAACGTTTTAGATATGTTGAGCATGTTGAAAATGTCAAAAGAATACTGGACATGGTGGCGATGTTTAGATGTGTGTGCTCTATTCAACCCTGCACCCCTCTCTCTGACACACAAGTGGAATCTTCTGGACGGACATGTTGATGTTGTGTTGAGAAGTAACCAATCAAACTGCTTGCTCCTGTAAGAAAGTAAAATGTCGCCAATAAGTAATTATGTTCACCGAAGGAAAACATATTGTTTTTGCTCCGTTTCTTCTTTCGTTCCAAACACTGACCTCTGACCTGGTCAATGACCTGAACCAGACTGTCTCTCACCATGGTAACTGCTGTTGGGTTACATCATGTTGCAATTTTATAGTAGGAGGGATTTAGACTTCTGTCATCATATATGTGAATGTGTTTGAGTAAGAATTTACAGAGCAGACCATATGCGAAGGTAAACATAGTCTACATATAAATCAGTTATGACGTGAAGTCACAAGTCTCTTCAATATATGTAGTTTGACAGATTTACTAAGTCACACAAGTCTAAAGCTACATTTTGAATCATTTGCACTTTTTTTGAATAGATGCTATTTACAATTTAACTTTCCCATTTCAGTCAGTATCTGTTAAATTTCTTGTCAAATTTTTATGTGATATCTGAAAAATTGCAATGTGTAAAGTCATCCACTCACAGGGCTTTATTCAGCAGCAGGAGCGTCTGTGGGTTTTTCCTCGGTGGCTTCTGCTGGTTTGTCCTCTGGTGTGGCTGTGGAGTCAAACAATGTCAATTGTCAATCATGCTGCAAATGGTGCAGGACATGGAACATTTCTGTAATTGGGCATTACTGTAAATTATCAAATATTTGCACTCAGTGGTTTTATGTACATGTGTGCAGCTTTCACCACCAACATATCACAAAAAAACTACTGTAAGTTACAGTTTCAATTGCAAACTTAACACACCTTTCTTAGTCTATTCCAATTTTATAGTATCTCATAATGTTCAATTATTGGTTTAAGAATAACCTTCTGTAAATACAAGGAGATTTATACAAAGTCATTTGTCTGTTCTGAGATCACAGAGGATTTACACACCTTCAGCTGCTTCTTCTGCAGGTGCTTCTGCTGCAGGTGCTTCTGCTGCAGGCTCTTCAGCTGCAGGTGCTTCTTCCTGAGCCTCAGCAGGCGTCTCTGTAGATTCTGCAGGCTTCTCTGCTTCACCTGTTTCCGCAGATGCGGGTGCTTCTTCTGCAGGTGCATCTTCTGCAGGTGCATCTTCTGCAGGTGCAGGTGTTTCTTCTGCAGGTGCATCTGCTGCAGGTGCCTCTGCAGCAGGCTCTTCAGCTGGGGTCTCCTCCTGTGGTAAGAACAGTCATGGGTGTTCAGAATCCATCATTTGCAAAGTGACTTTTGTCTGCCATTCCTTAATAAATCCTTGAAGAAATATGATTTGCAACCTATAGTCAAATATTTCCCTAGAGTAACAACAACATGTTGGGCTGTTATAGGTGCTAGACCTGAGTATGGGGAGGGGAGAGAAAGTTGACTGTGCATCTGCCATTGCCCAAGGTTGTCAGGTGAACCACTGGGTAAATGTGAATTTTCCCTTTCCCCATGCCCTTGACATCAGCTATTATAATAGTACACCTGCTTCTGTATCACATCTAGGGCTGTGATAATAGAGGTTAATGTATTGTAAAGAGTTGGGTTCCGGGATCTGGATTAGAGAGTATCAGAGATGCATTATAGAGTATCAGTCTAAGCTCCTACCTGAGCAGGTGCTTCCTCTGGCTTGGGTTCTTCTGCAGCTGGTGCTTCCTCTGGGGCAGTTTCAGCCGGTTCAGGAGCAGTTTCAGCCGGTTCAGGGGCAGTTTCAGCTGGTTCAGGGGCAGTTTCAGCTGGTTCAGGGGCAGTTTCAGCTGGTTCAGGAGCAGTTTCAGCTGGTTCTGGGGCAGCTTCTGGGGTAGGTTCAGCTGCCTCTTCAGCAGGTTTACTACTCTCATCTGTAGATTGGAGAAGCAGGAACAACCATAAGACTACATGTAAGCTAGCACAACAACACAACATGTACATGTATAGCAACAACTTATACACTCTCATCATCACAATCATCAACATTGTGGTTTCTACCACAGATACTTGCCATATATAAGGTATCAAAACAAACAACAAGAAAAAAACACAAAGCAACAACATTGCTAACACTCCTGTTCTACGTGCATGATAAAAAGAAAGAATCTCTGTAAAAGTGCCATAAATGTATATCTTTTTTCTATCCTAAAGGTAGTCAAGGCAGCTAGGCCACTAGGTGACAACTAATGCAAATGTTACCATCAATTCCATTAATTCCTTTGAACAAATCTAAAGCTGGCTACGGAAAATTTTGTCCCTGGCTATCTGCCTACCTTCCTGCACTATTGGCACATTCATGTCATGCAGTGTTGGGTCAGGATTGGACTCGCAGCCCTCGATCACCAACATGTTGGTCCCTAGGTTCATAACGACTGTGCCTCTTCTGTCTACCACTTCCTTCATACGTTTCTCATCTGCGATGTCTAAGCTGCCTGACTCTTGTTCCTTCTCTGTGCTAGCTGCCTGATCTACCGCGCCTGACTCTTCCTCCTTGTCCCCTTTGGCTGCCTCGTCACTATCAGCCTGCCCTGAAGCCACTACATCCTGGCTAGTTTTCACCTCTATTTTCTTCTCAGATTCCATGTCATCCCCAATGGCCTCTTCAATGGTCATTACTGATGCTATTTTGCTGTCCTTCTTGTCAATGTCTGAAATGGACTGGGAAGTGACGGACCGGACCTCCAGTTCTGAGGGGGTCTTCTGATCGGTGAGTGACTTCCTACTCTGTGATGAAGTGGACTTCTTCAGTGACAGCTTGGACACCAGCCTCTGAAAGGATGACTGGGAGGAACGTGCAGAGGCCACTTTCGTTGCAGAAGCCTTCTGTGATGTCTTTCCACCGAGGGATGTCTGAGATGATTTGGACCGAGCACCACCACTCTTCACACTTGTCTTACTGCCAGACTTCTGTACATTTTCTTGCTCTGCAGCCTTTTGCTCTGCTGCTTCAATCTCCCTGTCACTGGCCACTTTCTGCAGCTTCTGGCTGACCTCAAGCAACTGTTGGTCAACCTCAGTACCACCCTGGCTGATTTCCCCGCTGGCTTTTTTACTGGGTTGATCTGGCTTGGATTCCAGGGCTGTTTTACTGGGTGGACCAGACTTCATGATCTCTTCAATCATCTGTTCTATCTGCTCTCCTGAGCCCTTGGCACTCACCCCCTTGCCTTCTGCTGTCTTGGCCTCTTCTTGCTCTTCAGATGACTTTGCTACATCACTTACTTCTTGTTCAACTTTCTCAGTTTCTATCTCATCCGGCCCCTCTATCTCACTGCCTAGCTCCTCTGCTTTGTTATTGGCTGACTGATCTGGCACTTGATTGGCTACATCACCCTCACCAGGCTCTTCCTGATTGGCCTGCCCTACTTCTGTGCCTTCCTTCTGATTGGCTATCTCACTCTCTCCTGACTCTTTCTGATTGGCTATCTCACTCTCTCCTGACTCTTTCTGATTGGCTATCTCACTCTCTCCTGACTCTTTCTGATTGGCTATCTCACTCTCTCCTGACTCTTTCTGACTGGCTGTCTGATCTTCAATGTCTGTCTGACTGGCTACCTTGGTCCCTGATGTTTCTTCCTGAGTGTCTGCCTCAGACTTACCCTGTTCTGGTGCTGGTGCGTCTTCTGGTTTTGATTCTGGCTCTGTTACCGGTACCTCTGTTTGGGCTTCATTTTCTGTGGCGGGAGCTTCTTCTGGTTTCCCAAGTTCCTCTGCCTCTACCTTCTGTACTTCCTGGGTGGGACTGGGGGGACTTCCCTCTGGCTCCCCTCTAGAGGCATCTCCATTAGGGGTGGATTTTACTACAAGGGTAAATAATGGGTTCAGTAAGTCATGAAATGAAGCCAGATTGACTTTCAGTCTGCTTAGGTAGCTGTTGGCAGCAAATTTGTATTGGTTATTGGTTTATGCAGCAGGGAGATAAGAGTGTTAGAGTGTTAATAAAGCAGAAATTAATGATAGGATACAAGTTTTAGAAGATACAAATCATGGATCACCAATAAAACAATACAGACACTTTCAACTTTATGGCCTAAAGAAAAATACTGCAAAACTTACATCAAGATAAAGAAAGGAAACATTACGTTAAGTACAACAACTTTGCCTGTACCTGTTACACTACTTGGTCTACTGGTTGGCTTGACTACTGCAGTTTCCCGCTCTGTTGCTGACGCCGATCGCTGTGTCCTGACGGGGGGCTCTGTTTCCTCCATCTTCTTCGCTGAGATGTCCTGCAGCAGGGTTGGAAATAACACAGTTATTGTTTGTTAACAGTTCATCAATAGTTACTTTTCAGTGCATAAAAAATTTCACAAGGATATCACTGCTTTTGGAATGGAGGAAAAGGGTTATGAAGTGCTTCAGGACAAGTGTGCACAACATCCAGCCATCCAGCACCAAGGCCAGTACACACCTCCACTAGACTGACAAGATGGCTGCTTTCTTGATGACAGATTTAAGAAAACTAAAAGCTCAGTTTATATCTTGTAACCTGTAAACCTGTTCCATGCAGATAATAAAACCTCAGGGATGACATCAAACTTTGGATATTTCCTCAACTTAACCTACATGTCTTTCAAATGAATACCACTTGTATGTAATCTGCTACCACCCTCCTGTATGTTATTTTTAAGTTATACATGTACTTCAATGGCTTCCTTTTGTACAATCTAGCTTCAATGTCTACTTACAAAATGTATGTATGGTCTTCTAAATCACATCATGTGTCATTGTTTGGCTTGAAACAACCATTAGCCCCTGAATGTGCAATCTACAATTCTTACAGCAGCACTGGAGACAGTAATGCGTAAACAGAATTCCTCGTCTGGCCCTCACATTCCACAGCCATTTACAATCGCTGACATGCGTGCGTGGGAGCCATTGTAACCACAGCCTTCTGTACGGACCAACTCAACGTCATTTGCGTCACTCTATAGAGGCAATCATCCCCATGCAATTAGTACCGACTGCACGACATATTTTACCACCGAGTCAACGACCGTAGCTTCTTGGAAAGGGGTTCAATCGTAAACAGATAAATCATTGGCTACAGATGAAATGGTCAAAACATAGTATGTGGAATACAACTTTGTCATCTAATAGACTAGTAGTGCTCTGGGAGCAAATTTTGTGGCAAACAATTTAAGATGGGTGTTACGATTTCAGTTATATCTTTAGCCACCAGAGACTGGCACTCACATACACATGATAATTGACATTGCAAAAGCTAGGACAGAGGATTATCTAATGATCAGTTTCTCCTGATGTATCAGATTAAGCAAGATGATTCTCTCATCGTGACAGTTCTGGGGCAAGTGACACACCATCAATGAAATTTCAACCAGAAAAGAACCTCAGAGTACCATCTTGGATTCTAACCTTATGGTTGTGCCATACCATTAATGGATAGAGTTTTGCCACACAAGAAGAAAAAAAAGCTAAAATATCAGATATTCAATATTCAATCATAATCATTGCTTTTCTACTGTCAAATATCTGTCATGTTGACTAATGCATCATATAACTAGAACCAGACTCTCATTATTAATCAGTAGTGATATGTTGTTTGTATTGACAGAGTATGCGACAGTGCAGCCCTGTCCTTGATATACATTCCAGGACACATTATGTAAATACTATGAGCCGATGCCATTCATCTTCCACTGTTGATTGATTATGTTTTCCAATTATATAAATTGCATTTTGGTAAAATTTCATTTGATATCTGAAACACAATATGAAACAGTATAGAAGGCATAAGTTCTACATTTTGTTGTAAAAGTGTTTCATTTAGAATATTTCTAGACGCTTTTATTGGTTTGCTGCTGAAATAATCTGAAATAATTCTAATGTAAAAAAAAAATAAGTCAGAAAAGAAAGTACATGAGAGGTCGGGACATAGAAAGAAAATCTTTCTTCATGTAATGATTTGATATTCAATTTGGAAGAATTCAGTTACGACCCTTGACCCCCGTACCTCTGCCTGCTGTGCCGCTCTCTCCTGTCTGTCCTTGACGCCATCTTCTCTCCTCTCCGCCGCGTCTTGTCGACCGTTCGCTTCTACTAACAATGTCTTCTGAGGCGCTGTCGCAACTGGAAAACACCCAGAACATTAAGGAAGTTAGCCCTTGGAGTTTTAAGCTTAGTTCAAATCACCATGATGATACTCCTTGGGTCAAAGTGTCTGCAGACTTTAAAGCTTTGTTATCAGTTAAGAAATACAACTGATACATGTACTGTGAGTACAGTCAAACTTGTTTGAACTACCACCTGTATAATCCGGTCATCTGGCCATTACCACCGCTTTTTCTTGGTCCCGATTTTGCCCCCATCAGACATTAAAGGAATTGCCTAAGCTGACCACTTGTCCAACGTGACCATGACCGGTACTATTTTGGACCGCACATGGCCCAATCTCTGCCTAAATGACGACCATGCGTCATTTTCAAGTGTGGCGGAAAACATTTTTTATAACTAACGAGAATTCTTGATGGACTCTTTTGCCATCGATTTCACATAAATGTATCATTGTTGAACATCCAAACTTTCAGTACAGCTGCACTACACTCCTTTTACAGTCAAGTCCCATAAGGTCCAGGGTAAAGAAATTGATGAAAGCCTAAGGACCATAATAGTACCTTTGACATAACTAGGTCATAAAGGCTTTTAGACATTAGGCCCAACTTCATTACATTCATAGCAGATTAGACAGGGGTATAGGACCCATTGTGCACCTGTCATTGTTCTTCACCTGTTGTCAGTGTTCTTCTTTCTTGACTTTGATGTACCATAATAGGAGTTATGAAAAATTAATGCGGCGACCGCTGTGCATTCTTTTTCTTTGAATCGATCGGTTGTTGATGTAGTTAACCCTTTTGTGTGCCACGGTGCATTTGGGTCACTTGCTGATCCCAAAAGTGAGATGCTTTTTTCTTGGTCAAGGATTATCTTGAGGCCCGCGGACGATTGATATCTTGTGTAAGTGTTGGCACTCACGACAAGATAATTGATTGAAAACAATGAACATACCATTTTTACTTCAATACAATCTTCTAAATCATTAATAGATAAAAAAAGTTGCAGAAAATATGAATTTGAACATGATTATTGCTAAATAGTCCATCACTGGACAACCATTCAATTTCTCCAATACTAAAATGTCCAAAAAGATGCAAAAAATGCAAAACTTTGGAATGAAGATTACCAAACTCTACAAGATGATTTTCTATATATAGAAATGTCAAGGGAAATCAGCTACTTTCCCACTAAAAAAAGATTTTGTACTTCCAATTCCTCTAGTCCTCAAATCCGATCCTCTCACTAAGTGGTTTACCACATGATATAGTACGGCCCCAGCATAAATCCAGACTGATCCAGTTCTGTCAAAATAGCCTATAGACAAGGCGTTCCCGCGAGACACAACAGATGACAGGTGCGCTGCTGTTGCTCAGGTAATCAAGTAAACAAACACTTGTTTCTTATGAAGAAATTTGGGGCAGACAATGGTTCGGCACTTAGTGTCACCCCCAGGGTATACAGTGGGGGGTGGTGGATGGCCCACCTGAGGGTAACTAAGAAATAAAACGTTCGTGTTATAAAACAGTTCAGCTGTTACAATGTTATCTAAGAGGTGAGCTACAAAAATCTCAGCAAGGAATTACAATGAAAATATAGGGGCAAATCTGAGAAACAAGGAATTAAACTGGCTTAGCCTATGCTATGGGTGTATTAATGGTTTCCAAGAAATGTTGCAAACCAAAACAATTTTGCTTTTAACTGAAATATCAGCCAGTCAATCTCAGGGATGTCCAAGTCCCAAAGGGATCAGTGCGTACAACCGTAAAAGCCTTGCCATACATGAAGCACTCACAAGCAGTATTATGTTAATTAAAAGTACTAGTTGTTTCCATTTATCTTCTATATGTACAATTTTCGTTTGGTAACAATAATCATAGATATGCCTGCTACCCCCCAGCAAGGACTAATAATAACTGATGATAGCTCTAAATTGGAATGACAAGAAAATGACAGAACACTCAGTAGCATTAAATCTCTAATGATTGCATGTAGCCTAATACCCTTCTTGCATCTCAAGATTTTTCTGATGATACCACAAAAAAATACAACTTTAACAGTAAGGTAATAACTTAACTTGTTGCAAATGGAGTCCTTGTTTCTATCAAGTGGTTTAGGTTGTACAGAAGTGTAAAAATGTACTCTGACAGTCTGTCACATTTGAAATGGATATTTCAGGGGGCAGCAAAGACAACATTAGGATTTCAACATAAAAGTTGGGGCAGTGGCATCAAAATCTTCCTAGTTGCCCCCTGAACTTTTGACATTGGAATAGTCCTAGTGGGTTTTGATCATATTACAAACATTTGACATAGAATAGCCCTAGGTGTTGTTACCTAATGATATTCTCTGAGAGTCTGACAAACAAAGACACTGAAATTTAAGACTAAGATCTCAGTTAGTGAGTTTATCATATTAACCTCCTAACATTCATGCTTTTTTCTTCCCTTATGCCCCTGTGAAAGTTCAGCAGCATTCTATAGAGGTAATACTGGACAGAGGGGGGAGTGAGTTTTGTATAGGGGAATTGCTCTAATTCTATTTGTCCCAATCCTATTACTGTATTAGCTCCTACATCCTTCTTACGAACTACAACCCAAAATCCACTTGAGGGCAGAAAAGCCTCTGTCAAAAGTTGCCTCTAAGAAGTTTAAGTCTTAATCCCTGGCAAATATGATCCATCAAACTGGGGCAGGCGGCACGTAGCGTTCTTTCAGGTCTTTCAGGAAGTAGAGACTTTGTCGAGGACGCTTATTGAAGGGAATGGAACAAGTGTGGTGGCCACTTGCTTTAAACCACAAGCAAAATGTAATTGAGAGTACTAACGCAAATTTACCATTTAAACATTTCATGGCTAAGGATGACGAATTCCCATGGAACAGAAAAAAACAGAGATAAACATGTGGGTCCGGCGCCCTGTAACAACTGTCACCGGAGAAAGCGCGTACAAAGGGAGCGGTGCCGATGTCTGTCGTTTGTTGTGTTCTGTTGATGGACACAATACAGCGCGGTCGTGTGTATCTAGGAAAGGGTCGCTTGTGCTGAATGGATTACCGGCGCGATCGTAGGACACACCTGACTACCACGTGCAAATAACCGTAGACCTGCCGACTGGCCCGTAATCACCCCTGCTTCAAAAAGTTGTCTGGTCATGACTATTCAAACATGGCCTCACCACCCGCCTGGCTTCTTTGGCTCGCTCCTTAGAACCATGTGACATTCTTAATGAAGTTTGACATTCTATGCAAATAATTATGATTCTTCCTGTCCACTGCTGCACCCATATTTCCCAGAAGAAACCACTACTATCAACATTTTTCATCAGCCAAAAATTGCACTAATTATCATGACTACGGTCCTAGTAACCAATGACAAGACCCCCTGCTATCAGCATGTAAAATCTGATTGTTTGGATGTCTCTAGGGTTACCCATTTAATCTATCATTTACATATCCTACCAAATAAACAAGAAAAATCACTAGCCAAACAGGTAGCTTTTAGCTGTAACAAAATCTTTTCATCAAACTTCAGGTCATCAAATGTGGTAAATATATACTCATGTCACCCTGAGTGAATGGCCCCTTTGAGAGAGTGATTTTTAGGTGTGACACAACAAGAGGGTGTCTGTTACGCTACTTTGAGTTTTTATACACACCTTCTTCAGTTAAACAAAATAACGACGTTCTGTTTAGCTTTGTTTTGTTTCCTCCATGGCTAATAGGTTTGTACTTCTGACATTTGTAAAGAATCACAACTTGACGTTCCTTCTACCACGTCTCAAGACTACAAGAGTCTCCTTGGCAAACACCTGTGCCCAGTTGGACCGACAGAACGCACCTAGATTCAGATCCAATTTCATCAAAGTTACATAAGCAAAAACTTTCGTGAAAACCAATTTGGAATGATGACTAAATCAAATGGTTGCGAAGCCCTGCCGCCGTTCCCTGAGTGGTTGGTGTTAGGAGGATTTCCTGAGATTTGGAAAGGGCGATGTGTGATGTCTAAAATCTAGGACACCTTGTTGCCCAGGTACAAAAACACCTGTTAACAGTTGTTGAGTCCTGGAGCGGGGGTAAGGCTTAGCCGGTATCTCTTCAAACAATTGACCTCGCTTACACAGCACGCACTATCAAATTCTACTTACCACAGGTGACAAACACTCTAAATCTGACCCACGCACAAAGGTTGGGCTATAAACTTGTTTGGTGGATAAACTACGTCGCTGTAAATGCTGGAAACAGAGGAATGGGTGACGGGTCTACTGATAGGGGCATGGCGGAGCGCTGGTCTGATGTTCCCTCGACTTTTCTGATTAAAATTACCCAGAAAAACTTGGTACTGACCTGGTTTGTTCGATGAAGGACCACAACCCATGGCTCAAACTGACTTCCACACCATGTGAGCACGCACTACAATGATTTTAGTAACTCGAGCTGACGGATAAAGAGGTGATGTCAAACTGGCATAGGATTCCCCTGGCAACGTCAACCACGCCGAGGCAATGTAGACCAGCTGATCTGTGACGTATTGGATTTACGGCGCTCTCATTGGTCGAGAGAACCAGGACACAGGTCATGCGGGGTCAGCTGGGGAAGGAATGTTCCACCAGACCCATAAACGGGTAAATGCAGTGTCAATGTGCACTTTAAAAATAAAAAAAGAGACGAAATCTGTATCTAAATATAACAGTAATGTTATGAAGATTTCTTTCAGATGTTTACATCTGTATGGTTTATGCATACGATTAATTGATACACAACCATATGTGGTTTACTTTGAAATGTACCTACGGCATAATGGGCTATTCTAATCTTAATCACAAAGGTTACCTGGGGGCAAAATTGAGACTGAAGCCTCTACAGCGTCACTTAGCGGAGAGTGACAATATTGCAAGCAGTCAGTCAATGCGGGACGGGGACAAATTCTCAGAAATGGAGTATTGCCATGTATTTCTCCTGCCTTGAAACTTGAAAGGATAAATACATTAGAAATTCCCAACAGGTTTAGTGGGTATTGTACCCTTCATCGCGAATGACGTTACAACCAAAGGCAACAAGGAAATGCCATTAAATGAGTCACATCCGGTAGTTTTAGCTATTCCGGACGTATTAAAGTTGTATGAAAAGAGTCAAGTGTGTTGATACGTTGTTTGAACAGGCTTTTCGTTTTTGATGTGAATGAACAACTTTCATCAATGTCAAAGTCATCCAGGATCTTTTTCAGTAGTTCGGGGATGCGACGCTAGTGCGTATTTTTATATATATAAACTTATATGTAACGTTACTACATTGTGTTCTTTCATTATTTCCGTATATTAAAAGTGGAGAAAACAGTATGGGTACAAACAACAGCTGCAAAGTTGAGAACCTGTGTTTGGTATAACGGTAAAAACCATAATGAAAAAAAAAAAATCAAAATTGACACAATCTTAGAGCGTTTGTTACTCAACATACATGATTTGAAGACAACCATGTCCATCATCAGGCGGATATGCCATGCCAAAATCGCCCCTCACAATTTCGACGATAACGTCGGATGTATTGTAGGCTTGCACTACTCTTCGAAACTTACACAGCCTTTTGGCTTACCTTTGTCGTCTTCAACTATTGCAGTATCTCTCAGGAGCCCCTCAAGGATGTTGTCAAGTTCATCACTCTCGTTGACATTTTCTTCCCCAGGCCTATCTTCTGTGTTGTCCCCTTGTTTCCCTTCTCTTTCTTCCTGCGGTGCGTCTGTGTGTTCAACTTGACCTTCGAGTTTTGCAATTTCACGTTTAGCCTGTTTCTCTCCCTGTTCGCTCTGGTCTCTGTCAGTGCCAGTGTCTATCTTCGTGATGTTTGTAACATGTAGACAGAGAATAGACTCACCGTCTTCTGTAGTGGTCAGATGGATGGCTGACTCTGCCTGTTCGCCGTCTTCCAATCCGTAGGAGATTGCGCTTTCTTCTTCCTTCTCTTCGTCTGTTTTGAAGTCATCTGTACTCGCTGAACTGTTGGTTGACTCACTCTCCGCGTCATCGTTTTCACTTTCGTCCGCACTTCCATTCTCTCCTTCCTTCGTTCCGCCCACATTTGGTTCTTCTGAACTGACCGGATGGATAGCTGACTCGTTCGCTTCATACTCTTCCATTTCTTCTGCAGTGACACTCTCTTCTTTCTTGGGTTTGCCTGATTTCGGTTCTGCTGCATTCATCAAGTCATGATCCTGCATTTTCTGTTCCGCGGGGCTTGATGACACTTCGACGTCCGGAGGTTGTACGTTTTCTTCAGCCTCAGACGACTCGGTGGATGAAATCTCCTCAGCCGACTCATCAGCAGTACTACCATGATCCGCATGGTGCGCCACTAGCACGTCGCGTTCCTCGGTTGGCACCTGTTGCATAGTTTCTGCTGTAATGGATTCGCACGAAGTGTCGAATCCCCGTTGTGTCAATGCCCACGGCTGCTCCACATCACCAGAGGGGTCGCTCTGAACACTTCCTAGGACATTATCTTTGTAAAACTCCTCTTTACTCCTTACGGACGGCATGCTACGCGTTCGTGCTTGGTGGCTCGCCTGTTGGTTAGGGCGTTCTTGTGAGGTCGAGTCGGTAACCGTCTGACTGCCTTGGTCAACCATGACTGGTCTGAAAGTAAGTGTCGAAAATTTCATTGATATAAGACCATATTCACACTATAAGAAAATGCATTTATCTTTAGCTCGTTTGCTGGTGCGGAGACCGCCTGTCACATTTGGCAGATGTATTAAAGCCGGATACGTTATTATTATTATTGTTTTTTTTGCGTGTGTACCATAAACAACAAAACGGGCGATGTCCATAGAATTATCAGTGACATTTTTTATGGTAGTCTTAAGATCGACTCAAACATATCGGCAACAATCTAGCCACAGAAGTTATTATTCTATGGCAGTTTTTGCAATGGAGTAAAGACAGTCTTACCTTGGCTTGCTCGCTCCCGATCCCATCGCGATCTGTGTTGCTACTAGCACTGCCGCAAGATAGAATCACGACAGATATATACCAATAGGACCTAGCAACGTAGTTATAAAGCCAACACGAAGTGAGACCCAGACAAGAATCAAAACGTTTTCACGACGAATGCTTTCTTCAAGTAATCTGTTGTGTTTTTGTGTAGGTTCTATATACTTCCGGCATAGGACAATGTGTACAATGACTACACTGTATAAAGCTACCGATGAGCCAATGATGTGTCCCCTAGCTTCGTGTCCTATCTTTGTAGTGCCGTTTGTAGTCGTTTGTAAAGCCATTGTTGTGGACTGAAAGACTGCTAAACTCCGTTACTAAGAACAAATAATAAAGGACATAAGTTGCCGTGGGGTGAGGTAATACCTCCATGTCTGTTGTTACCCTAGTGCTGATGTGGTGTCCGATGATCATATCATATCATATCATATCGTAAAGACTACAGGTAAGGCTCCGATTGGCATATAGAGTGACATTCACGAAAATATCACCGACTTCTAGGCCAATAAAAATCACTACAGTTTTAAACAGCTAACAGTAAAAAAAGTACAGTAAAGTTTGAGAACATTTATATCTCGTGTTGAAATGGGAACCTATAGTTAGGTACTCGTAAGTAAATGACATTAAGTCGTATAACCATACGACAGGTTATTTGCGTGATTTCTATGATCAAGACTCGAATATTAGACTTGACTATGTAACGCCATTCATTTATTCAGAGACAATCAGAGCATCTTGCAATCACATATAATTAAGACAACATGTCATCACGAAGAAGCGAGCACACACGGCGTAGAAATGTCTGACAAGACAATGCAACGTTACATCATACGCTATTTCCATACATGTATCAGTTTTCTGACACAGCCTTAAACTTACACAATCCTTTTGCGTATAAAAGAAGACACACAGTTGTAAGTTAGAAACGCACCACAATCGGTTTAACCAAAATTACTTTTATATATATATATCAAGTGAGACAATATATTTTCCCAATCTGAGGAAGTGAATCTCAGCACAGAAAATCCAGGGGGGACTGAAACACCCCTGTAAAAAAATCCTAGAAAGCTAACCCTAGCAAACACAGTGAGAATGGTCCCTTTTACATTGTGTACGTGTGCTGTGATGTAATTTTTATGTTTACCGAAGGAAAACATATTGTTTTTGCTCTATTTCTTCTTCTGTTCCAATCACTGACCTGTGACCTGGTCAATGATCTGAACCAGACCGTCTGTCACCATGGTAACTGGTGTTGGGTTACATAATGTTGCAATGTTAAAGTAGGAGGGATTTAGACTAATGTCACCATATATATGAATGTGTTTGAGTGAGAATTAACAGAGCAGACCATATGCGAAGGTAAACATTATGCATTTGCTTTGCAAATGTTATCTTTCTAGTTTTATTTACTTTTATCATTGTAATTATGTTACAACTCCACGGTGCCCGGTGGTGTGTCTATATCTGGTTGGCGGCTTGCACGTTGTCCCTGAACTGCCCCTGCACGTTCCCGGCAGGCATGTAGTTGGCCACCACGGTGACGGCGCCCTTCCCGTCCGCCGCCATCCCCACACCCAGCTCCGTACTCGCCTTCCACACCACCTGCGAGAAGTGACCTGGGATGAAGGGATAGAAGAATGATTGGTAAAGGTAATAAAGCAGTCCTCCTCGACTGAGGTGAAGCATGATGCTTTTTCAAGTAGCTTATAATGTAATGAGGCTTTGCAACAGTTCGCATTTTATCCCCTACTCTTCTACTTAAGTATGTTGGGTTCTTTTACGTGCGGAGGTTTGGAGGAAAATTTCTTACTACAGAATGTATAAATCAATTTTCCTTGTCTAGATCCATTGGCCAGTTTTATAATAATACTGCACGGGTTCTTGTTGCGAAGGTCTCAGTTGCAGTTCTAATTTAATCCGCTATGCGCTGGTGGCGTCCTTGTATCGTAACGTTTGTAAGTCCCGATTTTCGTACAATGTAGCGTTTGTTACGGCGTGCTTCTAAAAAGGAACAAGTAAAAAGGCCTTTATGAGTACATACCTGCGCCTGGTTGGAAGTTGTTCCCGCTGAAATCATATTTACTGACTTCGTCGTACCACTGCTGGACGAAAGATTCGGCTGCAACAACAGGGAGAAATCATGACTGTGTATCCTAGTTATAGTGTTACGCGTAGAATGTCTACATCATGGATAGCTTTCCTATAATGCACTACAGAATATTTACGTATGCACGTAACTTCAGGGGACGTTTGTTTCCTCTATACTAGTAGACGCGTGCGAAGAGTACGCGAAACATAATTACAAGCATACCGAAGTTACAGAATCCACAGTGTTATTTCTTCCCAACTCTATACGTTGCCAATATCGAAGTTTAGCTTAGGGAAGAGAGTACATGTAATGTATGCGGCGTCTTGTCATCACAACAAGGCAGGGAAAACCAGCTACGTCCGGTTCACTGTGTACTGACAGCCGTTACCGAGTGAGGAATGTCCGGCTCTCCCGCCCAACGAAAGGACTATGTCTGATGTCATTATCGTCATAAAATAAGGCGTGGTCCTTAGGAAACACATGTTTGTTGTGCACATGTTTTGTCTAGATTGAGCGGAAAAGGTAGGTGTAGCTGTCTTCCTCCTAAGGCCATGTTGATTTGATTACATGGATGACATCCGCGCGCGCATGAATTATCGTCCATTAAAAAAAGTTTTCGACCATGCTGTAAATCGTACAAAGTAGCTGCAAAATGAGCAACTATTTGCCGTAAATTGAAGAACAAATTATTGGAAATCGATACTTATGTTGCAGAATGCCAAAATCCATTCCAAAGGACAAGAAGAAAATGTGAGGGAATGAAAATGAAGAGTCTATTATTCACCATACCAATAAAATATTGCTCTGTGTGTTTAGTCATTTTTTCAACCTTCATGACCACCTAGATTTCATAATGGAGGTAACTTTTTTTGCCAAACTTTTTTTATTCGCACGCTCGCATCGGTTTTTGGGGGTTCCCAGAGGATGTCATCCATATAATCAAATTAACATATTGATAACGGCATTCCATACCCGAATGTTCTGCGTTAGGATCCGAGCTCCACTGGTTAGCGATGTTTTCCCCCAAGTCTCCGCTCCTGTCCTGACTGTGTTCAAACTTGCCGGTCTTCACCAGGTGGTCGGCCCACTTCTGCGCATGCTCACACGCTTCCTTGTTCAGCACCATGGGCGGGGCGCCATGTCGGGAGCGGAACTCGTTGTGCTTTTGCAGACATTCCTTCGCGAAGTCAGTCTTCCACGGAACTGAAAAAAATTCGAACTATGTCATTTTTTCTCTGCATCTGTATCAATATAGCCGGTATAACCGCCATTCGGCGTAACACACCAGCCTCGCAGGCACGCGGCGCGGCGGCAGTTAGCTACTATTTAGTATATATTGTTACATTCAATCTTTGCACATTTAATTGCAGAAGTTGTTTAAAGCCTTCTAGTGATGATGCCCCAACTGTGCTTGGTGGCAACGAGTTCCACTCTACGATATTCTACGTTCTTGGGACATACGAGTTTTTGAATTGAAAACCATAATTCTTGGTTGATTTTTTCATCATCACTACCCGCAATTTTCACAATTTTTTTTCAGAACATGCAGTTTGTGACGCCGGTAAAACAGAAGACAGACACAGAAACTGGAGTAACGGTAATTTTCAGAAGTGGGACTCTTCCCTGCTAACTAAACAATTTGTCCTCAGCATACTACCATCTGGCCGTGTTGCCGGGAAGCACTGGGTGTGGTGTACTGAACATCGCGAACCCTGGACTTTATTACACCCCCTCCTCCCAAATTTATCACACAAATTTACCAAAATTCACCCTTTTTCTGTATAGAAAATACGAAAACAAAACATATGAGGATTCGCAGCCCAGTTGAAGAATTCGTTATGCGTCAATACACGTTAAAAACAACAAACACCAGGTGCATACTTGTACCTGTTCCAAATATGTTGAGTGTCCGCAACAGAATACGAACAGACAACAATCATCACCAGATACAATTTTGTCAAACCGTAAAATTCATTTTCAAGCAGATCTTGGGAGGAAAGATTGCGATATTTTCTTGACCGTTTCGTTTTCTTACAGCCAGTCTCATAATCTGGTTCTCAGAAATTAGGCTAGTCAGACTCTCAGAGCAAAAACACAATCTGACCAGTTACCTCCCAAGATTTCATATGATTACATGTAAGACAATACTTTAGCTTCAGGGCACATAAACACACACACAGCATTACAAGAAATGGTCAAGGGAACATATGTACAGTTCTTGTGTTTAAAAATAACCATATTTTGCTGTCTTACCTGACTTTTCTTTAGACGACAGACAACCCATGTTTCAAGCAGCAGTCCTCTGTGGAGACAGGCACGGAAGTGATGTCAGTTACGCCGCCTAGCGGAGAACGATGTCAGCAGTCCTTAGCAACAAGAACCCCGGGCTGAGTCATGTAATAAGTTGTAGTCGAGTAATTGGGAAAACCGGTCGGGCCTAGCTACGGGTCAGGAATGTCGCTGGGCGTTACAATCGAGCACGACAACATAAATCGATGGTTAGATAAAGTGTACAGGGACAGGCCAATCTTACAAAACCGTTTACGTTGCAGTCTGTACGTGAGTTGTATTACATCGGATCGCCCCGATTTAGACCTACCGAAGTAACCCTAGAAGCTTGCCGGATGTAGTTCAAGTACAGCTCAGACTGTACCGGTCTGTTTTGCCCAGCTCACATCCTGACTGAGTTCCTCTAACATTAACTCAGCGGTTTTGTGGGTCATTCTGAATCACACTATCCCTAGAGACGGCTTCTTTCCGAAATATGCCCGCATTTTCCACGTTCGTCCGCTTTTCTTGACGTACATAGGCCATAGAAGTGGAAAGCTTGCATGTTAGTGCCATCTAGTACATGTTGACCGATGTATTGTATTCGTTCATTATCTTCCTAAGGACGAATTTAGGGTGGGGCATTGCCCTGCTGATGTATTGCCCATCTACACCTGTCATATATAATTCATATGGCTGGACATCTGGTATTACACATGAATGGACAACTCGAATCAACAAAAAAAAGCCACCATATTTTTAATCGATTTTTCTATGTTCTGACGCCCCTTTAAGCCACGTTGGCTGCTGTAGCTAGCAATGTTAGCTGCCCATAGTTTGAAGTGGTCCAGCGATCTAAAACCTTAAAAATTATTATCCTTATGAATATCTTGTGTAGAACCTTTTCTTACCAGTCTACAAAATAAAATGTATCACAGAAAAAGACGTACGAAAACGAGCGAAATTAGCCAGTGTCTGTGTACGTATGTTTACAAGAACAGGCACTGAGGATATATACAAACTCTAGCGCTTGTAAGAACTGACCTTTCAACTTCAGTCTTCCTCTACGCTGGAACTTTCACCCTTATGTGAACCACACTTGGCTGCGAGTCCTCGCCAGAATACTCACCGTTTGCACCGTTTCTGGGCGTGTTTTTTGGAGCTGTCACTCAAGCTGCCCTTTCTCGTGCCCTCGGCTTACCCCAGATGACACCCCTGGCGCCATAATTATATCGCAAATCATCCCCAAAAGCTGTCCAACAAGATGACGTAATGGTTTAGGGTAGACCATTTGGACGTGGGGCTGCTGGTACTTTTCCTATTTCTCGTTTACTGTTACCCCCATTCAATGTAGGGATTTACATGTACCTAAAATTGGCCCACCAGACGTGCATTTCTAGATCAGAAGAGAGTTAACAGTGTGAAAGTAAAAAGATAAATATTTCTTTGTCTGTTGAAAGGCAAAGTATCGCTGGAAAATGTTATCAAAATCACGCCCAACTCTTCAAAAAGCAAGGGCAAAGACCAACCGTGCATATTACGCCCACGGTTTCTTATTATTGAGTTATCCACTATTCTCTCCTCGTGCAATTGAATTGTGAGGAGCTTACGATTGGCGAGGTTAACCACAAGGGTTTGTGGCTGCTGGTATTCGGCGCTATAGCTAGCTCAGGTGACCTCAATAGGACAGTAACTGCTGATCTCCAAGCAGATCCTAGGGTGGCAAAAAGACAGTATCAAATTGGCCAGACAATATCTATTGGCCAGAGAGGGTCTATACGTGACCCAAGTGGGGGTAGCGACAAAAAAGGGGGGGGGGGGCACATATAAAAAGTTTACGATCTTCCCCCATCAACCTTGCAAGTAACTGCCCTAGGTGCAGCCATGGGGCTGTAAGGTTATGAACCACACATACAGGGAAGGACCCTTTCTTATCAATGGGATTCGTCTGAACTAATAATGAGATTTTGGTCAACAAATACGCCCGCTTGACAGTCGCCACATCAGCGGAAAAGGCATTATTAATAATGTATTACGTAAAGTCACTTTACCGTTATTACATTCCACCACACTACCCGCTAATGGAGACTCCCTAGCTAAGGTCACACCAAGTCATATTTATGGATGACGTCCTCGCATGCATTGATTCAGGCCTGTTCCCAGAAAAAAAAACACAAGAAATTCTGCTTCTTGTAACTATGACCAAAAAGTCACGACAGTGGGATAAGGAAAGATGTGATGAAAGGAAAGAAACAGAACAGGACGACAACTGCTGTTCCACTGATTTAATGCTATTTTCCTGACGAATAAAAGACTTGATGGTTGTTACACTGTGTATATTCCCTTAGTATATTTCAAATCTAGGCATCTTGCTTTTTTCGGCCCATCTTTTTTTTTGCGCATTAGATTAAGGATCTCCAGGTTACGTCATCCACAAAAATTACTTGATGTGGCCTTATGGGGCTTCCCTAATGCTAAGTAAGTGCACAGTAAAAGCACTCTTCACACAATCATCATTTACCTTAATTGCTTCATTGACATTTGATTGATGATGCCGCAGTTTTTTTTTGTTATGATAATTCCAATACTGGCTTTATTGTTTATTTTACGATACATACGAAAAAAAAAAGAAAAAAAAAAGAAAAAAAAATTTACGATACATACACCATGCAAGTATAGAGCATGTGGTATAAATGTGACAAAATAAAGGTTTGAAAAAAAAAACGTTTCGGTAAACCGCATTAACATAAACATATACAAGGTTAGGTATCTTATTATTTATATTTTTAGTTACTTTGATAGCGTATCAACGATAAAATAATGAATATTCAAGAAAATAGAAAGTTTTAACGTTTGCATAAAAGCTCTAGGGATGTAGCATATGTATTCTATACACCATGCTTTTAGTTAATATATTACTTCGGAAAAAGACAAACATAACGAAAACACACAAGGTCTAACATTGCCCAATGATGAAATATATACTAATGATCTATGTCATTAGGAATCTACATATTGATGGAAGAAACATTAAACTAGTAGCAAAATCATTAGGGAGCTCATTTCGGCAAGACGTTGGCTATGCCGTGTAGAATTCATTCGTACCAGGAAGCCCAAATCACACCATAACATAAGGGGAAAATGAGTTTTTTTAATGTTATAGCTAAAGATATATCGTATTATCTTCTATATATTATTGAATAACTCCTTCACTTCTCCCTCTTGTATCGGCCCTTACGTTGATCATCAGAACAAGTCGTACAGCCTTCAGACGTCACTGTAATGACAGGACATTATACATATAAACGTTTGAGACAACACATAAAGGTGGTGGGTACAGTGCGATATCTGTACCTATAAATTGAAACTACATAAATGTTAAGACTTTCATGAACATCTCGCGCATGAATAATGTTTTTGTATGAGGACCTTATTCCTCCAAACAGATGTAGAATCTGGCTGGGTTTCCTGCTTGTTTCGAAAGTCTAGAGGCACTGACCCGGACACTACGTCTACTTAGAGACTAACAAACAAACAAACAAACAAACAAACAAAGAAAAATTTTTGACAACAATAATTGCCTTTGCTTCAGTGACTTTGTCACGGTAGGGAGCAAGTACATGTACTGTTTACCTTTTACATGTTGTTCATTGCCATCGTGTTGCGGTCGTCTTTCTGTAAACAGAGCAGATAAAAGACATTTGGTACGATGAAATATGTTACATAGACACATACACAGATATCAATATACATTCGCCACGTACATGTTCCTTTCTATAGGGAAATCAGTTACCTACATTTGAAAAGCCTTCCTGATCATCTGCCTAAAGTGCGTCCGATTTCCATTTCCTTCGTTTTATTTGTTCTTAGCAAAATAATCTTGACATATGCACAATTCCCTTGGCTTATATTTACTCATATGAATAAAGATGTATTGTAGGTCGATATCGATGCTCACATCACGCTGCAGGTCGCAGGTGTGGAAGCCGAGTCCGATGTCCACACACACCGCCACGGCAGACAGGACCAGCACGGTGTACAGCAGGCCTCTGTGGGAAATAACGGGGTCAGTCTATAACTTGACCACAAAACCACCCCACACACACATACACATACATTGTAAACAACGCCACAGTTACACACACGCACACGCACGCACGCACGTACGCACGCACGCACACAAACAGGAGAGATATCTCACAGCTCAGTCTGGTCGCGCGGGTCCTCACATGTGCCCCCGAAGATGTCCAGCGGATCGCACAGCACGGCTGACACGGACAGCATGACGCAGAAGAACGCGGCCAGGATGGACAGCACCACGGCCATGGGCATGAAACCGGCCTGGGAGGGAGGCACACAGGGAAATTATCACAGTACGTAGATGTACAGGATGAACCAGTAAAAACTTGAAACAACTTTAGAGGGTACGTAATTATTACCAACTCGGTCTTCCATAAAGTACAACGGTAAACAACTAATATATCTTATCATTGTCCATTAATACTTTATGGCATTCCTAGTGTCATTTACATATAGTATTGTATCACCATGGTAGACATTCCGGTTACAAGACAGCAAACTACTGCACAACACATTCATGACGATCTCCTACTAGTATGACCTCAATTTGCTGTAGTTAACCTGTCGCACTACAACTGTCGGACGGTCGTGTTTGAGAAGGCAACTCACAATCATATAAATGACGACAGGCGCGTCGTCATTGCGGGACTTCACTCTGGCTGCCAGCAGGGCCATCAAGCCGGCTATTATGGTCTGGGAAAAACAACAAATATCAATAATGATCATGTAATCGAATATTTTGAAGTATGATTGAATTATATTGCATTCAAACTTCTAGGATGGTATCATAGGTAAATTGAATGTCTGTTTCTGAGTCAACATTGCAGGTAAAGGAGTTTTTCATCACGAGTAACTTCCCCCTTAACTTTCCTACATAATCTACACATAGTCGTTACACAGCGCACCTGAGGCGTCGCCAAAAATAATCGTTACGTTTTCCTAGCTGCTAGGCTTCCTCAGTTTATCGCAATGAAAGGTCGGTGACGAAACGTAACGATCTAACCTCCCCATACATCTACTTATTATTTCATCTATTTACCTACTTTATCTATTTATGATTACCAAAGGAAAACACATTGTTTCTTCTACGTTCCCTCTTCGCCTTCTTCTGCAAACCAAAAAGGTCAATGACCTGAACCAGACTGTCTGTTACCATGGTAACTATGTTGGGTTACATCATGTTGCAATTTTATAGCAGGAGGGATTTAGACTCCTGTATGACCATATATATGAATGTGTTTGAGTAAGAATTAACAGAGCAGACCATATGCGAAGGTAAACATAAATATATATGCACTTGCTTTGTAAATGTTACCTTTCTAGTTATTTATTTATTTTAGTTACTTGGGTAAGACATCAAAAGACGGGACTCACGATAAAGCCGCTCCATATCGGCGCGCCGATGAGATGGTAGCGGACGGGGAACATGCCCCTCAGCACGGCGCCCAGGATGAACGTCACGGTCCCCAGTAGGAGCAGGACGAGCCCTAGCGCCACGATGATCTTCGGTTTATACTGCATAGTGACGTCTCACCTGGAGAGGGAAGCAACATTTAATTTTTTCCGGGGAGAGGTTCAAGCATTATTATTATACGTGTTTATTATTAAAATGTTTACGACTCTCAGTAGCAAATGTGTTGATGTTGACACATCCGTACACAGTGATCCGAAGTGTGTTTTTGGCACACAGTTAGACAGATTAGCCTATTAAAGAGGCTCGGTGGGCGTCACTTCACCGTACAGGGAGGGTAGTCGTGTGAAGTGCCTTACCCAAGGGCACAACGTCGGACCACGGTACCGGTGAGTATCGAACCCGGGACCTATTGGTTCCAAGTCTAACGCTCTAACCGTTGCGCCACCGACGACGTTAAATGACAGAAAATGCGACATCCTCAAATGAGAGTGTGCAATCTCTTAAACCAAAGAGCTTAGAACTGGGAACCTCATGGCTCAAACGAACTCACAACTTACATGAAAGAAAATCACCTTTATGAGCCCCTCCCACTTGAACCTTCTACGGGCCCAAGCTTAAAGCTTGACATGATTTATACGTTTGCTACTCACCCAACCGTACACAAAAAACTCAACCAACAACATGTGAAATCAAATCAAGTCGTCCTTGCTTTAGCCACCACGAATCGAATGGTATGCTTTTGTTTGTAAGACTTGTTTTCTTCGTTCTGGTGTGAACCACCGCTGCAACCTGGTCTCAAGTTTCAGTAAATACCTCACGTGCCAAGAAAACAAAAGGCACCTTTGAAACGGTATGTAGGTCTCAAAAAACACATCTGTAAGTAGAACAGGTTACTAGTATAACTTTTTGCCTATATCAGAAGAGCACAGGGAGGCATTACGTAGAATAATAACTGGGTGGAGCACATTGTAACGTGCAGCGGAAAGACTTGATCGTAAATTTATAAATCTACATGTACGTCTGTTCAAGTGTTTGGCATCCCTGATAGTTTATTTTGCTGCGGAGAAGTAGTGATAGACACTCGGACACTCACAGTCATTAAGCAACAATTATTAAGTTCGTAGATATATTTGTGAAGCAAATCATACAGGTGTTTTATCATGACACACGTAGGGACGATTTTCAAGTGGCGTGTACTCATGTTACTCACGAATCAATGACAATGCAGTCCTTTGTATGTGTCTAAGCTAGCGCGCAATAATTGTACCGAGTAGACAAACAACGTGATTTTGCAAGAATACGCCAATATGTGCACTTGAAAGATACATTGGAACATCTCTGTTGTGTATACAGGAGAGGAAAAGATTTGTTTTGATAGTAGAAACCCGACGAGGAGTCCACGGGCCGTGATTTTTACCTGACACAACAAATATTTTACCTGGGGGCACTTCAGGGTATAGCTGACTTAAGGTCTTTAAAATGACAACTCATACGTAATAATTTGGCTCAAAACTGCTGAAAAGACACAAAACCAAAGCACAACATGTGAATTGAATAAGAACTAACTTGAGTAAGAACTAACTCTTGATATACACTTTGAAACATGTTGCAACAATTATCGGTAGAGTGTCTAAAAACTTAATACTCTGCGACACACCCTAATGTTGTCAACGTATTGCGCACTTCTCTACGTTTCTCTCTGTCAAACAAGAACACAATATCTAACACAGTGTGTGGCCTATGTATTGGAGATTTTGACAAGTGATATCTTACGTACCTATTGTAGATTTTGGGCAATCTTCAGATGAGAAAAAAAGACAAGAAGAACCAGTTCAAACCGCGCCAAACTTTGCTTACCTTTTGCCTCTTCAGTGAATAGAGTTGCTCACGTGACCGTCTCAATTTCAAGTACCCCGGATGTTGACCGCCTTTTGAGTGTCAAATGAACAGGTGTGCCCAGTGGGAAGAAATAGGTTAGAAATATTTTGTTGTCTGTCGCTAAATTGTTAGTTTGTCGAATAATGCGATTCATCACTGGAAGTTTCATTTCTTGAGTAAATCGGTACGTCTCATCAAGTTTAGAAATTGTACCATGACGAAATGTAAACGTATTGATAACACACGATCGTAACATAACCAAGGGACAGACCATTTAAAAATGGGGGTGCGTCGATATGTTGATTTTCCCAGCTATCACGTCGTCTAATGTCGCTCATGACGTCATCTGTCCTTGACAGTGAAATCCTCATATCTTAGAAAAATTTACAGTACGATTTTTCAGTTTATTAATGTCTCATTTTAGTCTGTAGAACCATATCTAGATCTGACCATGTAGTGAACTTAACTGCGCACTTTTTGGTACGATTAAGTCAAATGATGGTCCGGTTTGTCCCTTAACAATGGCGCAGTGTCCTGCGATGTCCCGCCTGAAGCTATGTCTTAAGATGAATCCATTGTTGAGTACTTAACATTAAAGCAGACCAGAACAACCGGTGCGATTGAGTCGCTAAAGAAGATCTCACAATAATGTCAATAACAAAGAAATGAACAGAGCTGCATTCGTCAAGATCCATATAATACAGTATCGTTTGACAATCAAAAATTCATATTTACATGGCTCTCATTCTGGTAGAATATTTCTTTTTTTTTTCAAGAATAAGTCTTTATACAGAGATAATATAGTTACTACAGTTACCCGTATTGAAGAAAACCATCACGCAAAACATGTAACGTTATCAAATGAGTTCAAGAAATTCCTCCAAACTTTTCATAGTGTCTTCAACTAATTTTTCTATTGCTCTCACTTCTGTTATTTCAAGACCTACTCTTTTGAGTAAAATGTTGGAAAACATGTCCTCATCTTGGAAAGGGGATAGTCTTTTGACCCTGTCTCTTATGTCTGTGAAGAAAACTCCAATCTTTTCTCGAAATTGTTCGTCGTCTTGGGCGTTACGTAATGCCTCCCTTATTGCCGTGGTGTTGAAGCCGGCTCTGTACCCAAACGGCGTCACGTCTTCTATTCTCATACGCAGAGGCGCCCCAAGTCCGCCAGTTTTGAGGTTTATGAGTTTTAGATGTGTCGCTTCGGCGAGAACCTTGTGCCTTTGTCCCATACACATAGACATCTGAACGCACCGAATGTCTGTTTCTGACGCCGTGTACCGAAGAGGCGTTGTGTACGGGATTGTTGTCCATTTGGGATGGTCAGTGTCCCATTGTGGAAGTCTATAAGAATCGCGATGGTTTTCTGTCAATGGGTTGATCTTTGTGTATATCTCCATTCCATCGGGTATGAAGGGGAAAAAGCAAAACTTTGTCCTGACGCCTGTTAAAATTGTGACCTTGTCTGAGGGTAGATCTTCTGTTCTGAGTTTTAATGAAATTTTAAGGGAGCTGTTTGTCGGAGAGAACCACTCCTGGTAAGGCGCAGTCTTGCTGCGAAAGTAGAAGTCGATGCTGCTCTTCTCTTTACACATGTCCTCGTCTCGCGGTGTCTGGTACGACTCCAACTGAATCAACTTGGCGCCAAGCTGGTTGGAACTTAACACCATCCTACAAGTGCCCTCTAGCAGTTGATACCCTTCATTGCAGGATCCACAGGTGGCGAAGTTCTGGGCGGGGTTGCAGGTCCGACATCTTCCCGCCCTTCCGACGACACACGGAAGAACACTGCCGCAGATGTCGTCATCAACACACGCGCATGCGCGCCTCCGGTGGTCAAAAGTCCCCGGATGTCGTCCCCGGGAACAGTATAGTCGCGCCTGCGCGATAATCTGCCATTGACGCGGACTCCTGTAGACGAAAAAAAATCTAGCAATGAAATAATGGCACTTGATGAATATGTACAAAATACCACAACACAGAAGAAAATTTTACTTTTAAAATTCAAAATTTTGAGCAAGGAAAAAGCCGTTGTAAGGACACGCACCTTGGAGAAGGTTTGATTTGTAATTCCGGCTCCCAGGTACAATATACCACACGTCGTCTGATTTCAGTCATGACGTCATGTATTCTTGACAACAATTTCCTCATCTTGGCCACATGTACCCTGTATGATGACGTCACCATCCGAGACCGTCGCCATCTTTCTAAGATGGCGTCCAAGTCCAGAAATTGATCGATGGGAAGCCTTCGGACAAAACGCTGAAAACCATCTATGGGGGAAAATTGTAAAGAGGTTGTTTATAAGAGCACTGGTATTTAAGTCAAAAAGAAGCATGTCAGATAAATTGTCAGGTTTCTCTAACATTTTTTTCTGTGATGATGAAACATATTTATTCAAGGTTACAGAAAGTTGAAATGAACACTTTTCAGGCAACGTTGAGCATTTTATTATAATAAGATTTCCCGCTACTAATCTTCTTCTAATCTCACCTGTTTGCTCGAACCTCGAATCATCGGTTTCAAACTGCCTGCGCAAGTGCTCTAACTGGGACAGTAGCCTGTTGATGACGTCAGCTGAGCATGCGCAGTCTGGAGACGAGTCGTCACATTTACACCGACACTCCCCACCCTTACACGTCCACTCCCCTCTCCCGTCACAGTAGATGTAACTCAGAGCTGCCTTCGTGAAGGATTCCCGCAGATAGCGGGGTAGTAAGTCCTGTAGACCTATAAGGAAATACAATGCAGACATAGGAAGTTACCATAATGATTGCAGTAAAATTTGTTAGTATAGTAGACTATACAAGTCTGAAGAATATATATAGAAGAGTGATGATGACGGATAGGCACAGGTGGAATTTTTGATAAAAATAGATCCAATTTTCGTCTGTTGGATCAAACGTACACTCTTTCTATGAAGCTTTTTTGTCAAGGCATGATACCCATTTTGCAGGTAGTAGTAATATTTGGAACGAATAAAGATTCTTTTTTCCTTTCCTTCAGTCTAGTCATTTATATTTTCTTGTATTTGTATTGTTACATTTTGTTTTTAAGTGTGAAATAAACTGAACTGAACTGACTATGTTACACACCTCGCAGTTTGAGCCTTGCGTTTGTGTCAGAGAGGAGCACCGGATCCCGGGTGTCGTCCACGTGTCCACACGACATCGGCCCTGCGCTGGACGTGTGAACCTGAAATACAACGGCGTATAGAGGCATTGATATGTATGCTTTATTCATGAACGCACAAATTTACAACTGCAACTTAGACTGAAATTTCGCAAATTACCGTATTGTGCCCTAACTGACGTCTTCAACGCCTAATAAACGTAGATCGAGCTTAACGTATTTGTAGTGTAGTGCCTACAGTGAAAATATACCTCTGAGGCGTCGCTAAAGATCTCTTAAGAACATTTTCAACTCGAATCCAATACCGTTCAATCGCTCCATCCCTAAGGCGTTGCCAGAAAAGATCATGTTACATAGAATATTAGCTGTCTTTGAAAAAATATTATAGCAAGTGTTTTGTGTACCCGAAATGTGCCAGAACGCCTCTGCAGATCACGTAGTTCCTCCATAACTCCGTCTTTATCGGCGAAATAGGACCCAAGCAAGCTCCGGACTTCTCTCTGCACGGCCCAGTCCGTCTGGTTCATGTACACAGTCACCGTCTCCCCGCCGCCCAGCGCCCCGGACACCACGTAATGTGTCCCGTACGGCCGGATCACAGTCTCGATGAGCTGGGCACGAGACGGGCGCTCTCCCAGCGAGAGAACAGCGGCTATGAACCCCGGGTCTAAGTCGGCGATGGACTCCTCTTCTGGATTTCTGTGGGACGCCAAGTTGTGCACGATCCATTTTGTATATTGTCTGAAAAGTACGAGAAAAGAACGCTATGTTACTCAACCATGCTACTCTGACGAAAGACCATCTTACCAAAGTAACATATATTCATAGAAGAATACAACTATGACAAGCCCTACTGTGTAACTATCCTACCTGCTTGCTTTGACTCTGATGCTGAAACCCTGCAGTGCTTGTTCTCGATATCGGAGCAGTTCCGGTGAGTCCGCCAGGGGGCCACGATCGGGTTCTCCGCCTGCACCTGACGGTAACGTTCCGAGCGTCAGAGCGAAGATTCCCGCTAGGAGGCGCTGCAAGAACCGCCGCCCCATCTCAGGTGTAGTCCCGCGTCTTCATCATCATCGTTGTCGTCTAGCTTTCCCTTTGTCATTTGGGCCACTAAATAACATAGGTAAAACATGTGTGAGTGGCTTGATATGTACATGGGTTCATATCGATTGAACAAAGGTTGTCACCAGTGTCGCAAGCTTCGAATAGTTTAACAGTTAACTGCTTTGGGTAAACATTGTATTTCCACGGCAAAGTCAAGGTTGGTATTGACATAAACAACGCAAGGTCGTGGGAAACATCACAAGTCGTGACCATGAGTGTTTCTTACGGCTTTTTCTATTAGTGGAATAGTCATAAAGCTACGACCAATCGATGAAGTTGTGTAAAACATGGTCACGAAGCTTGTGCTCAGGTTTCACAACAAGAGTTGCTCCAGACAAGGCCAGCTGTACGCCTCATCTACCGTGTCAGTCAGTAACCACGACAAGCATGTCGGCAAATATGTTACTGCTTGTCGCCTGAGGCAATGTACGATAAAAATCGCCACATTCATGGGTTTGTGTTTGTTTACCTGAACACTGTCTACAGGCAAAGGTGAAGTTTATAACGTAACGCATGGCTTATTGAGTCTGTGAACCCTAACATATATCCACTTCCTTTGTCATACTCAGTAAAGGTGTTCTATCAGCATGCATAGCTTGGCGAACAGTTTCATATCAAGAGCGGCCAGTAGTCGTGAGTAGAGTTTCGTTCCAGTCTCTGTCACACATTCAGAACCTCCCCATGACCGCTCAGTTGACCACTCTCAAACCAAGTTCGGCAGTGGATTGGGCGTCAATCTCACATTCGCTCCTCTTTCTTTCTTCCTTTCTTTATTCTTTATTTCAGGTAAGAGAGTACCCATAAAAACAATACATCTTAAAATCCCATCTAAGTAGAATGTGACTTTTCTTTGATTTATATAAAATACATAGTCTGATGGTACACGATGCAGATAATCGACTTTTAAACATGGACTAGTAGGCAACTTCGCCGACCAACTCACTACCACACGATAAACTTGCTGACGACCTAGAGAATTGCGTAAATATAAAGCCTACAATTAAGGTACTTCGGGTTAGTGTCTTGGATCTGTCTGAGGATGATCAGGCGTAATGATGAAAGGTTGAAGGGACTCCATGTAAGGTATGGTCCTGGTGACAAGCGACTATCGGAAAGACAGCAGTTGCAGGACGCCGAAACCAAATATATCGGTGAAGAAAGAGGTGTTCTATCAATGTTGATGATTTATCTCAGACTCTCAGTAATAGCTAGAGTTCATAAAAAATTAAAACTCTTTGTCTGACACGACACATTAAACCGTTTGAGTGAATCTGATGAGCATTTTGATAAAGACTGATTGATGCCCCAGTCACCATTGAGATCTATATCTGTACGCCCAAGCCTTAAGTGGTTAGGGAAGGGCTGCTTTTTTGCATACAAAGTACAGGTTGTATTCACACAAATACTCTGACTGGCCACCAGCTATCTGCTCATTACTTCGCCCCAATAATCCTGACAGGTCCAGGCCGTGTTGTACCGCCACTATTTACCGTGTTCTGTCAATCCCATTGTAACATGTCTGGCTGTTCAATGCTCGGATGCCCCTGAATTTTCCCCAGTTCTTTTGGCAGGGGATCAAATTGGATTTGCCCGGTGTGTAGCTGTGAACACGGGCGGCGGGACCGTCCGAATGTTGACAATGGGCCCACCTGGCCGCAAGAACAAACACACTGGGCTCTTCAACCGCCACAATTCAAACACCGACCCCTGACCGGTTTTGACACCTCTATTTAAAGGGACCGCAATGGCGTAAGCTTAAGCACAGGTAATCCGCACTTACAGTGGAGTATACGTGCATCTATCCTGACTATTCTTAAATCCTTCCAATTCGTCTGCCAGACTGTCGCCAGATGCATGTATTATGTCAAGGCAAGGCTACGACTCAACGGTATTCAATACAGCGTGGATCAAGGAACAAACGGGGCAATGTCACGGAAGGAAACAAAACCTCAATGCCGTACACGATGCAAAGGATGGTCCGCATGCCTTAAATTTCTAACGCTGGATTCTAAGATAGATGTTTCTTTGTTCGTTTAAAGATTTCCGGATTTTCGACTGCGGCCGAAAAACTAGCCTGGTTGCAGATGACATCTGCGTTCCTTATGTTAGTCTGGTTTATTTGTAACGTACCGGCACTATGTACACAGTACAACAAGCATACACAGACCGGGGATATTGCTGTTGGCGCCTCCGGCCACTTGTAAGAACAAGACTACTATTAACTCCCGACCTGTAATTTATGAAGGGGCTATTCTCACTCCTTACCCTACAGGGCTAAGGTTGTTTAAATAGTTTAACTCCTCAGTCATGCCACACGCCGTATCTCAGTCTCCGAATTATCTGTATCTCCGGAAGCTCTGTATAACGAAGTCCATTAGAAACTGAGTTGGGAGGGTAGGCAATATTTGACTACGCTGATACGTACGTTTGTACTTTGCATTAAATCGATGAACGAGCTGCAATTTGTCGACGGAACTTGCTCCCTGGGTCAAGCGGCACCTCTTAAAGAGCGTTATTAAGTGCAACGCACGTTGGTTATACTATGGCCTTTATGAAAAGTACAGGACTGGAATGCTAGCGTCCCTGCATTCCTAGCTACTCCTATAGTTACGCATTTGTCCCAGTTTCTGAGAGGGGTTAATGTTCAACCTTATAAAGCTAAGTGTGTTGTGCAATAAAGATAAGGATGGAGACGAGAGTGTCAAAAGGTCACTAGGTCCGACCCTGGAGTGTGAATGGTCTCACCATTATTGTCACGCCGACATTCCAAATTACCGAGGCCTACGTGCAGAAAACGTTTCCTCTTCCCCCTCGTCATCTTTTACGAGTTTCCGGTGCCCTGTTCTGACGAATATTCCGGTTTGAAGGCATTTTTGGAGGCTAGGAAACCTTACAGATGTTTTTCTGAGGTGAAAACTTCGTGCAAAGATTCGCACCGGTGCGTTTTGATTAGCGTCTGGTGAAATTGTAGTCTGAAATCCCTGCACGGAATTTTGTCGGTAATGACACTATATTAGGAGGCAATGGAGTATGACAGTCGCCTTTCCTCCGGATCTTTCCGGTTCGAACCTAAAACTCTAATTGTGACCTAACTGTTCTGTCTTAACTTTACGTCTTTCACTGGTACAACAACTTTCTTGGTGCATTTACTAACAGGTGGTATGGTTTTCCCTGGTCATCTCGCTAGTATAATTACTACATATTCCAACAGAAACACCCACAATAACACGCGTCTGCTTGGAGAGTAGGTCAGGACCACGTTACACATTAGTTTGACTAACGGATGACAAGTCTCGGTGGTTGTTTTATAGGCTCAATCAACATTTGTTCTGGGTTACATGTGGGCTTATTCGTGTAAATAAACTAGCGAGCGCCATGCGTGCACACAACCGGCAACCTTCACCGCTAATAATACGTACGGCCCACCATTTTTTTCAGGGACGTTTGCCAGACAGGTTTTGTAAATCTGTTTAAACCTTTAAACGCAGCGCGGTGGCTCCTCGAGTCTTACCTGCCGGTAGAAAACAGCATCCGCCGCCGGCCCTGTCCTCCACAAGTGGCCTGTATTCTGCTGTTGTTCTCGGGATGAATGTCAAAGCTCTCCAGTGCAAACTTGGCACTCAAAACATCGCGTGCTTGTGTCGAGATTAGGAGCCGGGAAACTCCGGTGCTTGGCAGCCCTCGACGACCGAGGCGACAGGCGTGTTTGCCGAAACGCTATTGACTCACCTCTACTTGTGGCCGCGTGATATATGGGACTGCTGCTAGAGGGCTGTTCCAGCAAGCGGTAGCCCTCCCCATGGACGTGGACAAAGCGTACGGCGTCCACACTCGTGTTCCGTTTTTAGCTTGTCCGCCCTCCTATTCCTCTGTATTATGAGATAATGCAGGTAGTTAGATGCACTTAAGGAATTTTGTTGGCAAAACATTCTGCATTTGCTTGTAGATGTTGGCTTTTTTTTTTACTTAAAGTAGTCTGTCTTTTAAAAGTTTTCCATCCAAAAACAGGTGAGGGGAAAGAAAAAGATGTTTGAACCAATTTTTCACCAGTACTTGTCACTTCCATCTTTAACATTGACTAGAGGCTTGTACCCCCTCCCCATAGAAGTCTTAATGCTATACTGTAGGCCTCATATCAATATAATACAATCCGTGTAATGTCTAGATTTATAATGTAACATAGTTGATTTCATGACACATAGTGAAACTTAAAAAAGGGTATGGGCTCTAGCCTTCAAGACACAGTGACCAAGACATAATGGATCATCAACCTACTGTCCTTACGGCTAGCCTCCGTAGCAGGCTTATAGAACTGGGTGTTTGGTGGTCTTCGGCTGTTTTCTGATCAGCCCAGTTTAAAAAAAAAACGGGGATAATTCAATCACGCCGGCTATGCTGTCCATATGCAATAAGAAAATAGCACATAAAAGCTCCCAAAGACCATGAAGACCCCCAGTTTATGGCATGCTATGGAGGCTACCTTACGGCCTGCTTTAATCTTCTCCCATGAATACACACATACATCATCAGACATCGAGAAGGGAATGGGAACAAAAAATCTACCAGACATTTTCTACACAGAATAAAAGAGAAGGAACAGTTCTTCCCTAGCCATTAAAAAAAGAATGACCAGGATAACACCTCCCTCTGAAAATGTACAAGTACCCACAGTTGTACCATGGTACTATAATGGTAGTATGCATATTGGTAGTGATAGCCAAGGCACTATCAACAGTACAGTGCATAGCATTAAGTCCACTTTGTTGCCTTGGCTGTAAAACAAATAAGTGATGTATATTCATGATGCATGTCAAGATATGTAGTAGCAATTCTTTCTTGTATAGAGAATTTTCCTCCTATCTAAAGAAACAGTCACCAAATACAACAGATTAAACACCTCTCATTCAATTGTATAGAAAATTGATACATTGACTTAATAATTGACAGTGTAGGCTTAAATGATACTTTTTGAGTGTGCTTTGTACATTAAGAAGTATTCTCAATTGTAACATAAATAGCTAGTGTCTGGTAAGTGCGATTGGACTTGAAATGCAAGGATAGCTGTGACAGTAATTTGCCATTTACAATTACAGTAAAAAAGTGCTGTTGCAGCGCTATGCTGTCCATATGCAATAAGAAAATAGCACATAAAAGCTCCCAAAGACCATGAAGACCCCCAGTTTATGGCATGCTATGGAGGCTACCTTACGGCCTCCAAAATGCCATGGCACCCCTACCTTTATAAGCCATCTCCACGTGCCAAACTATATGTAACGTTACATGAACAATGTCCACACATAACATCAACTCTTCATTGGGTATCTGATTTCTGCTTTAATCTTCTCCCATGAATACACACATACATCATCAGACATCGAGAAGGGAATGGGAACAAAAAATCTACCAGACATTTTCTACACAGAATAAAAGAGAAGGAACAGTTCTTCCCTAGCCATTAAAAAAAGAATGACCAGGATAACACCTCCCTCTGAAAATGTACAAGTACCCACAGTTGTACCATGGTACTATAATTGCATACTATACAAAACTATGTACAATGTTGGGTCACATATTTTAGTACCTACGTCTGGCACTATATGAAGGAGCACTGAATGTGCCCCCTAGCAACTGCAATGGTATTGCAGTCAACAATGGTCACCTTGTCGGGATGTTCCACTTTATCAGGTAGGGGTGGGTGGATGGGTTTTATTGACGTCTTGCTTTTGCAGAGGTTGCATTTCCTAAACAAGTTGTTATAAAAACAGCAAGCACCCACCCCTTCTAGATTGGAACAGCCCTTTGTAAACTTCATAAACTTGTATTGATACCTTTTTAAAATATTTGCCTAAAGTTCTGATGTGTTTTCTTGAAATCACACCGTTTTGTGCCGGTTATTGCTCTGTTGAAGCTAAGCTACGAGACTGTACAATATTTCTGTGGCGGTGCTTCTTCTTTCCTCACATGATTCCACAAGTTTTAAGTACAATGTGTGTCAAGTACGATGGCACTGTCATTTAGTACATACCCGTCATACTACACAAGTCATATAGCAATGGCAAAAATCTGTATATGTAAACGTATCTGTCTGTGTATGTACCAAGTACATGAAGCTGTATACTGTGTACTTGCTGTATGTGATAAAGCAAGTCATTTCTGATGGGTTTGAAGCCGTGCATTCTTAAGAGTAGGAAAAATTCCCTTGTCTTCCTTAATAGTGGGAGGGGATCTGATAGTTTTTGCTTGTGTGGCTTGTTTTTGTCCTTTATAAAACAGTAAAGGTGCGATAAAAATCTGTCACACATTTGTGATAAGGTTAGGCATAGTATCGCTTTTAAACATTTGTCACAAATACTGTCAATTTTCCAACATGGTATTGCGAACTGCTATGCCACTGAACATCACATAATAGCACAATTCCTATGTACTTCACTGTCTTTGGGTCCGTACTTGCATAACAACACCTGCATGTAAAATTCAAAATGCTGTTCAACAGTTAGTGGATGGGTGGACAGAACAACAATGGTCCCTAACTGGTTTAGATATAGATGTTACATTACAAAAACTGTTCCCTATTCTGTTATAGCTAAAAACATCCTTTGTGAAGAATACTTTTTAATAGAATACATGTTCCCAACTCTTTGTAGGGGGTAGATCAGTTGATATTCTGGGGGAGGGTCAAACCCTGTTATAATAATCTTTATAAAACCCTACAACATACATGTCTTGCATATATTTGTTCCCTTACACGGTTGCTTTTGTAAAAGGTATCCTAAAATGATCCTCCCCCAAATATCAAGTGAACAATCCCTCAATATACCATTGCTTAGGCATCAGTGTTGCATAAATAAATCATTTGTAGATGGTTCCTGCTCCATTTTTAGCACAAGTTATTTATAAAGGTTGTTGTTAACATCACAGGCTTGCATATTGGTAGTGATAGCCAAGGCACTATCAACAGTACAGTGCATAGCATTAAGTCCACTTTGTTGCCTTGGCTGTAAAACAAATAGTGATGTATATTCATGATGCATGTAAAGATATGTAGTAGCAATTCTTTCTTGTATAGAGAATTTTCCTCCTATCTAAAGAAACAGTCACCAAATACAACAGATTAAACACCTCTCATTCATTTGTATAGAAAATTGATACATTGACTTAATAATTGACAGTGTAGGCTTAAATGATACTTTTTGAGTGTGCTTTGTACATTAAGAAGTATTCTCAATTGTAACATAAATAGCTAGTGTCTGGTAAGTGACATTGGACTTGAAATGCAAGGATAGCTGTGACAGTAATTTGCCATTTACAATTACAGTAAAAAAAGTGCTGTTGCAGCGATTCGGTAATTCTTGCACAGTCCAAAACTGGGTCAGATAACCAAAATTTTAATGCAAATCTCCAAATATGGGTTTATTCTTTACAACCATTGAAAATGTGGACAGATACTTTTTGAATATTTTCATCCTGGGTATTTTTTTAAAGGTTGTTTGGGTCACAATTTTTAGCATTTCCTGGCTTATTGTTCAGAGAAGTCAGTTATAGACAGGGTAACTGAATTATCATATGCATCCCCTGTTAAATAAGCACACTGATTCAGTTTTAATCTTTTCCATGGTATAAAATCAGCGTGTTCAATCATGCACTGGCCTGGGAGATGGCAAGTAAGCCGGCTTTCACATAATCACTGTACAGAACTGAGTCGTGCATGTTCCTGGTAATAATAATAAAGTGTGAGGATTCTCAACTAATAATTACACTGATAATATCTAAACCTTCAGTAGTCGTCACACCCATAACCACATCTCTCCAAGCTTATTTTCAGGCTGAAGAATAATATCAGTCATCAAGGATTGAGGAGAAACTATACATAGTATAATTCTGTAAGTTTATCTATGGTCCTTCCTTGTTAGCACCAGTCGGCCATGTACTCAAACTCTTTGAACATCTCCTGTTCCTCTCCGGAGATGTGTCGTGGTTCCCGCGGTGGCGTCAGGATCGGCTCTTCTGTCGTAAACTCCTCGTCAAAGTTGCTAACGTCTTCTGAATGTTTCTGGTGGGAGAAAGAGATAAAGCAACAGATAAAAATCTTGGCCAAAACAGCTAGGAATTCCGAGGGAAAACAGTACAGATAACAAAGAAAAGAAAGGTGTCTGACTTACAATTGTTGGCACAAATGGCGGTTTAACTCTTCTCATCAGCAGGTCATCCCAATTCACATTCTGCAGAAAAAAAACAGGAAGACACATTATTTCTGCTAATGACAACCATAAAGAAGAAACAAAAATGTCCAAATAAAAATCAGTGCAGAAAAACAAAAACATCAACATTTCTGCAAGCACCAGCAATCCAAAACAAACAAAAACAGTTAGAAAAGAACAACAATGATAAAGGAAAAACTACTCACTCTAAAGAAAGGTTGTTTCTTGACGTCTTCTGCATCTCTCTCGGTTGACCCCAGTCTTCTCTCTGGGTTTCTCCTCAGTAACTACAACAAATGAACAATAATTCTTTCAAATTATTATATCATTACTTACATGTAAATATTAACATTTATAAACACATTATGGACAAGTGGGCAACCAAACTGGACCAAGAGCAACACACATAGTCGAAAAGACCAAAGACAAAGGACTGTTGCCAAGTGGATACGTGTGAACAGTAACAATATACTAGTAGTAGTTAGTAGTTGACCTCTCAATGCAAACTCAACGCGTGATTGTTTCTGTTGCCAACTGTGCCATACAGTTTAAGTGCTGCAAACTTAAAGATGTATTTACAGTAAGTATTTTGTATCTTGGCTAGGCGCTAAGCACACTTAATGAATTTACTGTATGTACACTTAATGAGTTTACTGTAAGTGTTTTGACTTAGCGAGGCGCTACGCTCCCTGGACTCACCCGTCTCATGATGGCAATGGCCTCGGTAGACAGGAACCTGGGGTAACGCACGTCGTCATTCACGATACTGTCAAACACCTCCTCCTCATCATCACCAGGGAACGGGGACTGGAACAGCAAACAACAACAATAAACAAAAACACAACAGGCTTTCTCACTTGAATTACCATAATATTTGTGTCCTGTCTTCTTTAGTTGAAGTGCATGGAAACAACTTTTCACTTTCAAGACATCATGATATTTGACAGATTGCAGAGACTCCTTGCATTAGCCTTTTCTGTGCTATCTTAGTATTACTGTAAATCTTGAAATGTTTGTGGTGCTTTTAATTTGTTTGAAATCTTTTACAGCAAAATCATCACATTCTGACTATGTATTTTGTAATTAAACTGCACCACAGTGTTGTTTGAATTAACAGTAATTTAAGTAATCACACTGCCAGGTTGGTTCTACTCACCTCTCCTACCAACATCTCGAAGATGAGGACCCCGAGTCCCCACCAGTCCACCGCTCTCGTGTAGGAAGTTTCCGTCAGGACCTCCGGCGCCAGAAACTCGGGCGTCCCGCAGAATGTGCTGGTCCTGTCGCCGTATGCCATGCCTTCCTTACACAGCCCGAAGTCGGCAATCTTCAGGAAACCTTCCGAGTCCAGCAACAAGTTGTCCAGCTTCAAGTCTCTGCAATGGAAACAAGATGTAGCACTTATGCCTGGTGCCACCTAGCAGATCACAATTAAACTGCAGGCTGAATGCATTTCAGACAAATCAGTTTTGCATAGCAGGGCTCACCTGTATACTATGTTGTGTTCATGTAAGAACTGCAACCCCAGCACTACACAAGCTGCATAGAACCTGTAAAAGAAAACCTCAACCATGAGCTCTAAAACTGATCAACATATGTGCTTAACATGTAGAGAAGAATCAATCCAAATCTATTGAACATTCAATTTTTTGATAGGATTGTTAACTTACTACTGATCCAACACAACATAGGGAAAATATTAATGTTATGTGATTGTTAGCAATTTCTGAAAATGCCTTTCAATCTAGCTTGAAGTTCTAACATTAACCCTTGTCCTGCTAGCACATTTTACACAAAATTTTCAAATAATTTGAAGTCCTAATCAGGTCACAGACCCTTGACATTTTTTGCCCTGCGGTGGAGTAGTTACTTCTGCATTTGTTGCATTTTGCTGCAGTGTGGTACGTTGCATAAGACACACCCCCAAATCATACATATACAAGGCACTATATGCACCTTATGTGCAACCCATATATACATTGTACATGTCTATGGGCCCCGCAGGACAAGGGAACCTATAATACTAATTCTAACAGTCTGATAAAAATTCTGTCTGCCATTGTCAGAACTTGTGGCGTGACTTACACAGTCCTGGGCTCAGAGAAGACATCCGAGTGGATGTGCATCATCAGGTCCCCTCCGCTGGCGTACTCCATTACGAAACACACGTGGCCCTTCGTCTGGTAACACGCAAACAGGTTCACCAGGAACGGGTGCCGCATGGAGTTAGCCGCCTCGAAAATACGCTTCTCACACATCAAACTGTGGGGGAAAAACAGGAACAAGAAGTTAATATCTAGGATATTAAGGAGTGTGGTCTGTCCAGTACAGACCCACAGGACAGAGCCAGCTGGAGGCGTGGTGTCCAGAACAGCCGACTGCTGCCCACCCCTGGGACAGGGAAACCGACAGCAGAATAATCTAAACCAGGATAGTGAGTGAGTGAGTGATACTATACATGTATGATACATGCATTTTTCACTATTTCAAAGGTTTTGTCTCAAGCTACAGCACTAAATTGAACTTCAGAATTTAAGATTATTTAAAAGCCTAAGGCAGTACTTGAACACAATGTAAAAATCTACAATGTAACACACCTAGGAATAAACAAACTGAATCTTTATTTGTTTGCAGATTCATATACACGTGTGTTATTACGACTTGACCAATGTATATCCAATAGAAAAACCGTGCTACATATTTCCTACATGTGACTGTAAGGCTATCTCTTGTTAATCCTTCTTTCTGTTTACATTTCTACTTAAAACTTCTCTTCATTTTCATTTTCTGAAACCTTTCTAAGACCTAGCCAAAATCACAACCACACTCCATAACAGACACTGCAATGTACATTCTAATCACCTATGCAGTAACTCATGTGGGAGTGGCATTATAATGTAACCATCTGGTAGGAGAAAAACATTACGTCAGACAATTGGATACAGCAGACAAATTACACCTGATACATGGGCAAAATGGATATTGACAAATTTCTCCAACATCCTTCTCCTGTACGTCCAATTTACAGAAAAAATTGATAATATTGCACATGGATCTCACCTTTCGACCTCGTCCCTTGCCAGAATGTCGGCTTTTTTCAGAGCCTTGATGGCGAAGAGCTCCCCTGTGTTCTTGTACTCTGCCAGCAGGACCTTCCCAAAATGTCCCCTTCCTAGAACTGCTACTGGTCGGAAATTATCCATGGTCATGGTCGAAGATGTGCTGATGGGTGGAAAACATAAGTAATCTTAACCAAGACTCAGCACAAAAATAGTAAATTACTGTAACATCACACACATTAACATGGCAGCTATATCAAATGTTCTCAGTTGGCTCTCTGCATACCAAATATCCTTAAAACGTAAAACGGATGGGAAATTCTTCCATGTAGGATGACACACAGCCACACCTTAAAATACATGTATGCAACACCTGGTGGATAGAGACATCCCTGCTGTAGAGACAGACATACCAGTGGAATGTAAAACAAACTGTACAATCTTATATACCTCTTCCTGCCCTTTGCAGCACTATTTCTAGATGCTCCATATTGCAGAAAGGCCCCCATGATCGCTACTTCAAGAAGCTATGGCAGCTCGACAACCTTTTCCAAAAATCAAAAGTCTTCTCACACAAGACGGTAGCTGGATCTATAACCACAGGGCTCTGATTGCACGAGATTAATAATAAATGAATATCTAGAGGCCAGCAAACCAGGAGGAGCGCAGGCTCCTAATCCCTTATGCTGTCTTTAATATGAAATCATGGGGAAGCCCAGTACTTGGGGATTCCGATGTCACCAACCGTACCCCTCCTGAATACACTATTGGGAAAAATCAGGACAGATATTGATTGTAGCTTCAGCTTGGCCTTATTATCTATTCCAGACCATACCTTGTGTCAGGGGCCACCGTAATACAATAGAACCAATTTAGGCGGCATCAAACTTGAGTTAGGAAAGCAATTTGAAACGCTGCATGGTAAGGCGCAAGGAACTTACAGTTATTCCTGGAGTGAGTTTGCGCAACTAGATGGTAAGCAAACTTTCATTTCTGGTTAGCTCAAAATATATACAACCTGCTGGGTTGAAGTCAACAGGCGTGATCGATTAACTGTTATGCCTTATTGCTTTTATCGGCCACAGTTACACACAGTAAAGCGAGCTGTAAAACTGAAGCAATTAACATTGATTACCGGTAGTGCACGTCTTATACAATCTTTATATCTAAGTATTACAAATCAATCTTATTTGTAGGTTATGTTCTTGGACTTTTCTTTGTTTTGTCTTCTTCCCTTGTTTAATAGTCTTTCCTTCTCTAGTCTTTCACCACTGAGGAAGTAAGCAGTTTTTGAGGTGAAACAGTTTCTTGCTGGCAAAACAAGGCATAAAGTTGTAATCCATTTTCCAACCGTACTTTATCAATCTATGTTTGCATGAAAACTTGTCAGGGCTTGAAATATCACCTACATATGCCGGTTACTGCGGTTAGTATAAATAAAATTGGGGCTGTGCAGGTATTTCTGATGTCTACCTGCACCTAACCTGCACTGATCCATGTACGTTTATATGTACATGTAGGTGTGTGTGGATTTTTATATGCTGAACTGACTGTTACCAACCATTAAGTATAAAATCATTCAATAATGGCAATGATTTCTGAACAGTTTTGAGTATGATTCATACTTCCTAAATTTTGGAAGGCAAAATTTGTCTGGTGCAGGTGATTTTCAGTGTTACAGTGCAGGTATGCAGGAAAGTATTTCTCTCCCTGCTTGTAGAACTTTAATTACTACTTGAACTACTACTAGTAACTTATAATTGATGTTACCTTTGTGCGCAATTGTTGAATCATATTTATTATTAACTATAAATGTATAATCTTTTTTTTAGACTGATACCTCTGTAAATAGCCTCACAATTCAGCCCTCCACGGCTGCCAGGAGGCATGTATATCTTTTGCTAAGATCTAATAAACCAGTCTACTACTACTACTACATGTACTACTACATCTACTACTACTACTACTACTTCTACTAGAAGTGACATCTCACCCTGTGTACTCCTGCTGATGAGGTGGTACAGGCGGTGGTGACGTCAGCGCACCCGGTCTGATCCCCGGAGACTCCAGCGACGTGTCCGGTGACTGGTCCCCCACCAGGAAGTCAAACGCAGACAAGGCATCCTGGGTAATAACCGAAATAACTGTTAAAGACTTTACACTTTAACCACAATAATACACCACTGTCATACAGAGACATTAAATGGATTACTTTTTAACTTGAGCTTGATTAATATTGATAATAGAATGATACAACTGTCATTAACCCTTGAACCAGTCAGCTTGTTGAAGTCGAATTATTGCATGCTCCGGCCAATACTTTAACAAGCAAATAAATGCCTCATACAGTTCAACTATGAAGTGCAAAGTGAACTTTGTTATGTTTAAGAGTAGTTTGAATTGTTATGTGTTTTTGTTCCCCACTGTCCACCTACCAGGAAGTCAAAAGCAGACAAGGCATCCTGTTGTTAGCAGGTGAGGAGAGAGAAAAGGTCATCTACATGAGAGTGAAACACACAAACTATGAGACAGTTCACTACAAGTTACTATCAGCATGGGTTAGTCAATACTACTATAGTAATAGAAACACAACACTTACAATATAGAGCTGGGTTTAAGGACAACATAGTAGATTAATAAACAAATTCTGAAGACAATATTTGCTTTGTTCATCTATTCTGGCATTTAGCAAAAAGGTCCCTGGACAATAAAAAAGTTCTTAATTTCAGAAAGTTAAACAAAAAGAAATATAGAAAGTTAAACAATTTGTAGAAATGTGGGCATGCCAAGTATATGATTATTTCAGATTGGGAACAATAAAAATATGATAATTAGTTCCTGCCGTGTCCTGAAATACAGCTCCAAGAAGTTTAAAAAGTAGCACTAGTAGTCTATCTTGGTTACTAAGAGTTAGTAAATATACCAACCTTACAGACAGCACAAAGGAAACACATGAACACAACAATTATCACATGTATTTCTAAAATGAGTAGAGTTCTATATTAAGACTAATTTGACAGTTAAGATGATGTGAGCCATGACAGTTCATAATCAGATTGGTAAGAATAAAAGAAGAAATTGGATGGAACCGAGATTCAAATTTTGAGGAAATTACATAGGAGATAAAGGCAGAATAAGCATGTTTTGGGTTCCAACAGTGCAGGCACATGTGCAAAGTCAATGGTGAAGGCTCCTGTCTTCTAGTCTTGACCATACTTTATGCATATCCAGGTATTTTTTTTTTATGTCTTTGGTCTTCAACTTTGATATACTGTCCAAAATGCATCATCATGTCACAATGCATATGTGCAGTTGGAACACTGAATCAGCTTATTGTAATGAGAGAATTTGCTTTAAATCAACAGGAAGTTAGATAATACAGGTTGTTAGTAAACATACTTTTTTTTCACAAGTTTGGATGTCTTCATATGCTGCTTTTGATATGTTTTGTCTGTATACATTACATGTATTTGCTAATAATCTATACACCAGGCCCAAAACCTTGTGATAAAGGAATAATTCCCTTGTACCATTCCACCATATCAAAACTATAAAACTGACCCTTTTTTTGACACCCAATACCAATAATACATGATGTGAAAAGGATAAAAACACCATGTGCAAACCAGCCTTGTGACCCCCACCTGCTGAATGGAAGAGTCTACTGCTCTGCAATACTGCAGTACTCCACTACACTCGGACAGGCCTACTGCTCAACTAACAGAGGGGGGGTTAGGGATTACAATACACTAATGAACATAGGGATATAAGTGAAGATAGAAATCTTGAACGGAAAATTTCTACTATCTAACAGTTGTCAAAAGTAAAAAATATATGGGAGAGTGAATGAATACTTAATGTGCATTTGGGTAGGGTGAATGAAATTTAAGAAGAAATGTGGTTCTTGCGAGCTAGGGGGGGTGTTTGGGAAAAGTGGAGTTTTGTACTGCAGCATACCAGAGCAGTTATCTCAGATGACGGGTTTCATTACCATTACGCTGTCGTAAAAACCGGGAGAGTTAACGCTCTCACTAACTTGGACTTCGTGTTCTGCTACCGAGTTCTTCTTGGTGTCGGAGTTGTCCTGGAGGGATTCGCCACGCGGCGGTTTCTCGGGCGGCTCCTGCTCGAACTGTAACCTGTGGGCCGCCGTCCGCTCGTGTGGCGTGCTGGGCTTCACGGGCGTGGCACCACCACTCCCGACCTACAGGTGGCATGATGGGAAGGTTACCTTGTACAACTGGCGTACGTCAAAGTGTTTTGTGATGTTCATGGAGTAAAATTTAGCTAGCCTGGGTGCCATCTGATTTGTAACTGTAACCCTCAAAATTTTTTTACAAATCGGATGGCACCCAGGCTAAAATTTAGCCTGTTATCCATCCAATTCTAGCTATAACTTGCTCCTTGTACTGATCACTAGTAAATAGTATGGCATGTGCACCTGTCATCAATTAAATGGTCGGTCTTTATGTCATTGATCATTTTAGGTAGGATAAGCTTCTTGAAGCAGAGTAACTGTTATCAAACTTTTGAATGCCTGTTTCAACCCTGTTGCCATGCCATTACGGAGAGCCAATCAGAGCTCTTGAAAATAAATTATGCAAATATCTAAATGCCAATCAATCAATGGGTGACAGAATATTTGGCAGGGAAGTGACCAGGGAAGCATACTGGGGTTAGAATAGGATACTAGTAGATTTCAGGCTAGTAGTTACTATGGATGCCTCCGATACCACCAAGCACAACTTGTTAAAATTTTTCTGTGATACTTGCAAAAAGCCAGCAATTCACACTTCAATAAAACAACAAACATCTAAACACGCGTAACTTTAACTGTGCAACTAATGCTACCCACAAGCACAAATTAGCAGTTAAGTTTCAAAGCAAATTTTTACACATTATCTCATTTAAGAGCACATGAAAACACTGCATACACATTGCACTTTCATGTTATTTTGCATTCCAGTCTACACACAATACATATACAAAGAAGCCTAAACACCTACCTTGCCATTGCCCACATGCTGTGTTGCCCATGCCTTCTACATGTACACTAAAAACTGACCATCACCAAACAAGAACAGACATGATCGTCTCACATCACAGCTCCTGTTACAGGAGTACAAAGCAGTACCACATGCAACACTCAAGAGCAACAGAGCTGTTGTTGGGATCCAACTTTAAAGCATATTGGCTTTTAATGCAAAAAAGAAGCATATAGCAAGAAAAAGTTTCTCTTGACAAAAAAGAAGTGCGACAGAATCAGCTGTAACTACAAAGAACGAGAGTTAAAGTGAGATCTAGATCAGCAAGCCTGACACAACAGAAAACCGTGATGTGAGACACAACCTTGTCGTTGTTAGTTCCAACAGTACAATGTGTTGGACACTAAAATGTCTAACATTGTGTTACATAAATGTTTGCAGAGGTGTCAAGACTTTTGACTTTTCTTTCCTTGACTTTTCTTTACTTCAGGACTGGTGCTGCTTCCACAAATCTTAACACAAAACGTTGTGAAGCTCAATATATTTCTTCAAGACCTGTGGCATATTATGATTTCTAAACAGCAAAAGATATAAGATTTCTCTTCTAACATACAAGTATAGTACATGTTCTTTTACAATTTATCAAAAACAAAATTTTCTACAACCTACTTCACCTGCATTTTCTTGTTGATTCTCTTATACTACCTTAAAGATATCCTTATTTCCCAAGGCCTAAAAAACTGAGCAAAACTAGGTCCTTCCCAAATCTAGCAGCACCAGTGTTGTATGTTTTGGCAGACATGGACAACACAAACATTATGCAGGAGAAGGCAAGACTACCTCACTAATGGGACTGAAGGTGGAGGGACTAGTGCCACATGCCTGGGGGAGCGCTCTCTTCATCAGCCGGCCCCACGTCGCCACGTTGATGTTCATCTGGCCGGGCCTCAGGAAGTTCTTTCCTGTGGGGGTTAGATCACGTTCAACACATGTACAACCACAACATTGCTTGGTCGGAGTCGTCAACAACATGGATGCTGTGGCATACATTCTGCTGAGTTCCTTCATTTTGAATGGCTTGTGTAGACTAGCTTTGCTCAAACTGTTATTCCAAGAAGTCGTTGTTGCTTATATACTGGATGGAGGTATGTGCACTGCCACATGTACCTTTGACGCAACAGACCAGGTCAGTGCACCCTACTCTAGAGTAGATGGACCTGGGGTAGCCTATATGTACCATGTATAGGACAGAAAGCGTATGAATGGCATGTTCCACTGGATTTGGCACAGGTTCAAGGTTTCATGTAACAGTTGCCACATTTGGACAACATGTTATTCTGGGCTATACCATTCAAA